ATCCTCGTTAGCTGTGGCATATCTAGAAAAATGTAGTTTTTTCCTCTCTGCCAGTAGTTCACAAAACCCACCTGAATAGTCAACTTCTTCAAAGTGTCTCTTCATTTCCAAGGAGGTTTCCTTTTCAACGTCATAATCCATTGGTTTTTCTGGTTCTAGCTTGTGCATTGGTTCGTCATCAGATTGAGAGAACGTGATATTTGGAGTAGCACCATTGTTAGTAGGTGGTAACAAAGTTGGAGGAGCANTCATNNCCACGGCCCCGTACAAATATGCAAATAATTGTTTTCAGTCATTTTAAAAATGTGCAACTCTTGTTCTCAAAAATTCTGCTTTCGTCATGTATAGCATGGTTGCCGGAAACCAATACATAGTAATTTGTATTAAAACAGTTGTTTGAAATTCCCAGTTTATTCTCGAATCTTGGTTGATTGAATAGATATGTTCCATACGAATATAATTTACATTAATATGTGCATTAGCTAATACTAGACATGATAGATTAAATACAAAATCAGGAAGTGGCACGGTTTCATAATGGCAAAGTGATCAAGAAAAAGTTTAGCGTCGGTCTGTTTGGACGGTAGTTCTCGGTGGAATCGGTGCTGTAGTGTACCACCATTTGAAGAGCTCGGCGAAGCGTTGGGTGCAAATATATGATATACGGCAGAATGCGATGTGTGGAATTTTCTCATCGTATCTTCTGGCCCAATTCACCTGAAAGTTATATTTTACATTCTTGCTCAAAATTTTAATTTAAAAAAACAAACCTTATAACTGCTGATGATGAAAAGTGGCACGAGAAGGGCATATATGACACCATTAGCAAACCACGAACCCCCGAGGGTAGAAGCAATGGTTAGGGGAGTTCCGAATCCAAGGAAATATGGCCAGCGAGTTTCAAAATAGTTGGCTCTGCGGTTGAATGAAAAGTTGTAACTGTCGAAGAAATAATCGAAGCTGAAAATAGGACGAATTTGAAGCTTGAGAAGCACGATTTGTGAATACTTACCAATACATTGAGTTATAAATAGCCACGTGGAAGAATACAATGTATGGTGTGATGAGAGGCATCGGAAGATCTGAGACAAGATGGCTTGGATCGAGAAGAATACTTGATGAACTACCGATGTGATTGTTTCTCCAAACATTTTTCTGAAATAAATCTATGTTTTCCGAATAGGCAATAGTGCAACTTACTGCATTGATTCTTGAATTGGAGGTGGTGTGTTTAGAGCTCTCATACAGGCACCGGAAACATCGGCAAACCAGAACATCAGAATAAATTTCATGATGAAGAATACTGGAAGAATGGTGAAGAATCCAATGGTTTTTCCCACTTCTTCTTTTCCAAAAAGACCGAACAGGAATCCGAGAAGGAATACAAGAACTTGCCAAAGAATCACAAACCCGATGTTCAAGGCATAGATTTGTCCAAGCCTGAAAATGTTCCATTTCATATTGTCCAGTAATTCATATGAATTCAACTACTTACTTCTTTTTAATACTATCTTTCTTTTTTGGAGGTTCAGGTGGCCTTCTGAATATTCCTTGCTTTTCTCTCCTCAATTCGAGTACTGTCCTCTCTCTTGGCGCTGCAGGCTCCACTACCAATTCTCTTGCATCTTCTTCAAGGATTCGTCGAATAAACTGGAAAAATAAAATACTAATAGCTGACAATTTTAATGATTCCAATTACCATTAATCCAAAAATCGAGTCCTTGAGCCCATGGAAATAATCCTCCAGAATATATCGAACTACCTTCATTTTTCCTCTATTTCTATGATTTGACTAATGATAGTATCTATATACGGATAGTCTTCGTACAGCAGTTTCACCGGTAAAAATTAGCCAGTGGGATGAGTGGAAACTGAAAACTAGGATAGTTAGAAGTTAAACTTTAATGTAATGGTACAAAAAATCGGAAATGAAGGTCCCACGACCACTACAGTAACCTAAAAATGTTTTTATTCTCCTGATTTATTTTCTCTTTTCAACCAAGTCGGAATGTATAACTTTTTGACAGCGAAAAAAATTGACATAATCGAGATTTTGAAAATCCGAAAAATACAATTTTTTTTAAAAGATTACGGTAGTTGTCGTTGTAGGATCTTCGGCAACAGCATACTTGTAAAATTCCGGGCCCGGCCCGGAAGTCCCGGTAGCAAAAATTTTGTCATTTTGAACCGAATTTTGAGCTCTCAATACAATTTTCTATATTTTTTTGTGCTTTTTGGATTTTTTGTCTGTTTGCTCTAAAGAAAATTCGAAAAAAAAAATTCGAAAAAAATTTTTTGATCGAAAAAAATCACATAAGGGTCCCCCCTTATGTGTTTTTTGAAATTTTCAAAACTTATGGAATAACAGGCCCGCCGGGCCTCCGAAATCCGAGAAAAATCTCGGCCCGGCCCGTTACAAGTATGGGCAAAAGTCTTTTTGGCACCGGAAAAAAAATAAAGGAAAAATGCAATAATGGAAAAAAATAGGCAATTGGTGAACCTTTATAAGGGAACGAAGGATGAGGAATATTGAAATATAAAATGAGGGATTGGGTTCAGAAGGTTCAGTTTCTATAACAAATGAAAACTACAGTAACATTTCCAAATCAAAATTTAAAAAAAAGAATTTGGATTCTTATTGACTTTTTGGAACGTTCTTTCAAGCTGTTTGGTCATTTTTCATTTACCAAAACCCATAATTTTACTTCCACCAGTCTACATTTTCAGTTACGAAATATCTAAATCTGAAATAAATAATCAATGTTATTGAGTTAATGTCGAATCCAAAAACTATTGGTTCGAAATGTGTGGATTGGGATTGGTCGTAGAAAAGAAACACATGATTCTCTGGTGACTTGATCATCTGCACTACACGGTGCCCCCCGACATAGCATCGTTTTTGTGGAGACGCAGACGCATGCGACGGAGCGCGCTTTTGTTGCGTCCACTCACGATGCAAAGGGCCCTAAGGCAGGGATGTACTTGGTGTTGAAAAATTGTCATATTGATTAATAGTGACAATTGAACCAACTAATTTATATCTTCTATGAAACAGTGTAGACGACAAATGAAGACGAAGAAAAATGGTAGTAAAATGTTTAGTTACACACAGAAAATACAAGAATAAGATGATCCTGTCTTTAATCTACTCGTAGACGTCCTCTCGCTCACAGATGTACTTGAATGCGTCACGGATGGTCTTGAACTTGTCAGAATCTTGTAGTGGAATCTCGAATCCGAACTCATCCTCCAACGCCATCACGATCTCGACCTGAAATGAAAATGTTCGAAAAAACATCAACAAATATTTGTTTCAAAGTGAATGATTTGCGAAATTTGAATTTTTTCTGATTTCTTGGCGCTTTTCTCGATACAGTGGAAAATTAGCTTTTTCGGCATTTAAAAATTCTAGGTCGAAATTTTTGATTTCAAAATAGGTAACAATTATGAAGACGAAGAAAACACACAAAATGAGCCTGAAAACGTCAGATTTGGTTGAGAATTGAAGGAGGAAATACATTTTTCAGAAAATCAACTGAAAAATTCAATTTTTCAAGGTTTTTGGGGATCTATCAAAATACCACTGATCATATATTTTTCTAATTAGGTAACATTTGTGCCGAATTTTCTGGGGAACATTTTGATATAAATTTCTCCTGGAAAAATTCAAAACTGACAAGGGAATCATGTTTAGCCTTCATCTCAGAATTTTTTTCTAAATTTGCTCATTTATAGTTTTGAATACGGGCTTTCTCATGGTGTATTTGGTTTTCTGCACAAATTTCTAGAAGTCGAGTTATGGGTTTTTTAAGTGATTTCAGTACTAATTTCTCACTTTTAGAGTGAGTTTTTGAAAAGGTTAATGAGAGTTTTTCGACATTTTTTGTGTGTCAGTCGTAATTTTAGAAGTTTCTCTACAATCTGACAAAGTTTCCTCATTTTTCAAAAAAAAAAATTTTTTTGAAAAAATTTTGCCATGGGTACCCTTTGCAAAATTTTACAATTTTTCGAATAAATTTTAAATGGGCTAAAATGAATTTTAAACGCATGGAAATGATAAAATGAGTATTTTCACAAGATTCTGTAGCCTATATCCGTTTTGAAATCCCAAATAAGTGATTCCTTCCGAAACTTGTATGAATCGTAGTCCTTCGAAAATCACCCAATAGCACTCAAATCTTGTGAAAACATAGATTTACATACCTCTTGACTGATTTATAACAGTTCCGCAACCAATATGATCAAATCGGGGGGTTTCGAGTGACATTTTGAGTAGATAAGGTTTTCGAAACAAGTCCAAAATGAATTTTTCTCTCAAAATATATCGCTTTTTTCGAGGTTTTCCCTACTCAAATAATAGATGAAATATATTTTTGATTTTCGAAAAATGCAAAGCGTTCCTCCAACATCAAAGAAGAAAAAAAAGAAAAACGAAAAGAAGTGGAAGGGAAGGAGGAGAGCAAAAAAACAGCATATTTTCAGATGGAATTTTCTCGACTTCTAGAAATTTGTGCAGAAAACCAAATACACCATGAGAAAGCCCGTATTCGAAACTATGACTGAGCAAATTTAGAAAAAATTCTGAGATGAAGGCTAAACATGGTTCCCTTGTGAGGGAGGAGATAGGTTTTGAAGCAGTCAGATTAGGCAGATTACTGTAGATTTGTGTAAAAATTTTCATTTTTTTCAAAATAGTTTGCTTGTTTATTCGGCGTGTTATTTATGGCGGGAAACTTTTGGCGTGGATTGGCGTGGAATGACCTAGAAGGGGAGAATTGAGAGAAAAAGTGATGCCTAGAGTCTCAAATCCCTCAATAGGTCGGTTCACGATCAAATTGAGTCCATTTGAAATTTTTGAATTTGGGTTTTTTGCCGATACACGAGAAACGCGTGAACAATCACCAGCTGTGCGCTTTTTGTGAATTATTCACCGTGTGTTTGTGTTTTTTTATAATTAGACTTCATGTGTACTTTGGCAATAGAAGGACGTGATCCTCGGAATAAATTTTCTATGTTGATATTAGGTTGGCCGGAAAGTAACTGTCCATTTTTTGATTCATGAATAACACAAAAGCAAGAGTTATCCAAGATTGACAGTATGCACCGTCGCGGTCCATGACATGTTGACAAAATTCAGGCAACTTGTGGATACCATACCTTCAAAAGCCAGCTGGCTGCGACACAAAGTATTTTTTGAGTCCAAATTTTATCTCAACTTCAGTGTTAAATTATTTTCCTCCAGATGACGTTGCATATCTCTAATCATCAATAATAAAAGGGCCGAATCAGGAGTTAGAAGTGCGTAAAGGAGGAACGTCCAGCTAAAGGGGCCCAGGTCTTACTTGACTTACCGTGGAACATAGATTCTCAAGTTATTTAATGAAACTCAATTCAGTCCTAAGACGCTTTGGATGAACGGCTCTTCACTTTCCTTAAACTCCAGACTTGATCCTTTTATTATTGGCTATTCGGAGATATTCAACGTCATCTGGAGGGAAAATAATTTTACACTGTCGATGAGAAAAAAAAACGTCCGGGAAGGTATACTTTGATTCACGGCCAGCTGGCTTTTGGAGGTATGGTATCCACAAGTTGCCTGAATGTTGTCAACATGTCGTGGACCACGACGGTGCAACCTGTCAATCTTATATGGTTCTTGTTTTTGTGTTATTCACGAATAAAAAAATGGACAGTTACTTTCCGGCCAACCTAATATATAGATTTTTAAGAATGAAGAGAACATGTATTTACTAGACCTATCTTTAACGCAGACATTTGATGAGGAGTGTTATACACTAGTCTAAAAACAATTTTCCGAAAGCTGAGAAATTCATGGGAATGTCCATAGATTATTAAAGTAATATTTTACGACGATTTAGTTTCCAGGATAACTTTCGCACTTTTCAGTTTTTCGGTCGTTTCCACGACATTCAGTGAAAAAGAATTATCAACCGAATCGCGGGTGGATGGTTGGAAATTAATCTGATGAATGTTGAAATAATTTTTTATTATTTCTGGAAAATTTGAGAAATTCGTATTGAAGTCAGGAAGATAAACTTTCTTGAGAACTGATTAGAATACATTTCAAACGAAGGTCCTTTTCAGGAAACTTCTGAAAGGTTCTCGAATCGTTCTCGAAACCTCCGCGCGAAATTTTTTTTCGATCAAATCACTAGGTACCCGCAAATAACAGTGTCTTTAACATTCGTATTAAGGCCTGCGTTGGAGATTGAAAACCTACGACATAGACACGAAAACATAGACTTAAAAAGGAAAATTTACCTGGTCCAATGAATCGAAACCGAAATCCTTGCTCAAATCGGCGTCAAGCTTGAGAAGTGATTCCTTATCAGCAGGGAAACGATCCCATGAACGCACTGCTTTCAAAACACGCTCTTCCACCTATATAAACGTCTAATAAATTCCATCCTGCGAATGGGATATACCTGCTTGAATGTGAGTTGCTTTGGTGGATCGAACGGGCCGAATACTTCAATTTTGCTTCCTCTGAAAAACTAATACGATGCTCAACTTCTTAACAGCAATACCTAGTTTGGATGTAGTTCACCGAAGGGACCATCAACCTGGACATTTGAGGAATCGCAGACGAAAAAGACCTCTGCTGTGCTACTGCCGAAGCAGTTCTGAAGGCGACGCGCCCAACTTGACGACAAAACATTCTAACCCTTCAAACTTCATGTTATAATTGATGTTTCAAATGTGTCCTCAAGTACTTGAGGCGATATCACGCAGTCTTTAAGATGAACGATGAACAAAGATTATATAACAACAATTTATCAACAGCAACAAATTTATTTGTGGGCTTTGCGCTGAGCGATGATGACGTTTTGGAGTTCCTCTCTCTTGGCCTTAGCACGACGGTGGGTTCCGATGCGTCTCTTCAAGAACTTGAGGGCACGCTTATCCTTGGAAATGCGAAGCATTTCCAAAACGCGACGCTCGTATGGAGCGAATCCAGTGATTTCGCGGACGAGCTCACGGACGATCTTAAAAGAACTAATATATGGCCCAGCAGTTTTTATAAAGATTATTACCTTGGTCTTCTTGGAGGCGACTCCCTTGTGTCTGTTTTGACGCTGCTTGACTGGGAGCTGGGTAGCAGCATGTCCCTTGTTGAGACCGACGGCCAATCCTTCGATTCCTGGTCCGCTCATCCTGGAAATTAAGAAATTATTGAATGGAGATTGAAATATTTTCTTATCTAAGAACAAGATATGATAATTAACACTGATAATAACTGTATAGCAACACTACAAACGGCCTTCAGCCACAACGAATGAATTGACAGTATCAACGAAACTGCGGAGAAATCGCATGGAAAAAGTGGAAATTCGGATAGAAAATGGTTTTTTCACTTGTAAAATTCAATTGAATAGCGAAAATCAACCGGAATTGTTTAAAAATTCTCCAAAAAAAGGTGAAAAAATCGGCGTCCTACTCATGTCGGCCGAGTGAAATAGAGAAAAAGCGACTTCGCGTCGAGACCATTTGGCTGCGCAGCGACTCAGGCCGTGCTGTGATGGCTGCCGGCGATACGGAGTGAGACGATTTCTCGTTAAAATGTGTTTTTAATTTTTCTTTTTCGGGTTTTTTCAACTATTTGTTGAAGGAATTCTATAGAATTATGAAGATTTAGAGAAAACAGCATAATCATGGCATTTTCGTTTGAATCTGATTGAATTACTTTAACGAACATAAAAAATTTATCGTTTTTTGAACTATATACCGTTTTATAAAGTTTCACAAGTTTCTCGTCGTGCTTTATCAAGTTTCCCCAGTCGGTGTCTCATAATTAAGTATATTTCAGTCTTGGATAATGGCTCCCGCTCGTAAGGGAAAGGCTAAGGAGGAACAGGCTGTTGTGTCCCTTGGACCACAGGCCAAAGAAGGAGAGCTTATCTTCGGAGTTGCTCACATCTTCGCTTCATTCAACGACACCTTCGTTCACATCACCGATATTTCCGGTAAGTTTTAAAAAACTTTTTTCGGATTGTAATTGTTTTTTTCCAGGACGCGAAACCATCGTTCGTGTCACCGGAGGAATGAAGGTCAAGGCTGATCGTGACGAGTCATCGCCATACGCTGCTATGCTCGCTGCTCAGGATGTCGCTGACCGTTGCAAACAGGTTTGATCAGTTTCTGAATAAATTGGTTATACTAACAAATTTCAGCTCGGAATCAACGCCCTCCACATCAAGCTTCGTGCCACCGGAGGAACTAGATCTAAGACCCCAGGACCAGGAGCTCAATCTGCTCTCCGTGCCCTTGCCCGCGCTGGAATGAAGATCGGAAGAATCGAGGACGTCACCCCAATCCCATCCGACTGCACTAGAAGAAAGGGAGGTCGCCGTGGACGTCGTCTCTAATTTGTTATTTGTTATTCGGAAGAATACATTGTTTAACAAAATTATTGTTGAAGTTCTTGCATAACAAAAATACCGCAGTGAATATGAATTACAGAAAACACACACACATCGTGTCTACACACAAAATAAAATGGCTGAATTGCTGTAGATATTCTTCCGTTTTCTCTAACTTTATCGGTGCCTGTAGAATTAGGAGACTGTTCTAGTTAAGATGATCTCCGTTTTTGCGTGAATTCCTTCGATGTGGATTTTGTAATGCAACGTTATGCATCCTTGGAAGTGGGGAGAGTTGGTCAGTTATTTTGTGTCTAAGATTTTAACAAAAGCTCGAACGACGATCGGAGGGAAGAATGGCACCGTCAAAGTCGAAGGAGAAAAAGGAGATGGCAAAAACAAACCGTCGTAAACAGCCTGCTACTAGCAAAAACCCGGTACTGTGAATATCAGAGATGTCCGGAATGACTTTTGAGAAACGGAATCCGGAACGAAAAAAAACCCGGGATCCGGAATTTTGACGTCTCCAATGGGCAGAAATTTTTTAAAAAAGTGCTGTATTTTTGAATTGTTTCTCGCGGAAGTTCAAAAAAAGACAGAATTCTTGCAGTTTAACATATTTGCTGAAAATCCGAAATAGAAAATTTTCTCGGAATCCGGAAAAATGAAAAGTTCTCGGAATACGGAATCCAGACAAAAATATTTTTCACGGAATCCGGATTCCGGACATCTCTTGTGTATATCTATTGTAGAATACGGCTCTGTCGCTTAGTCTTCAATTTTTTCTGACTTTTCAGACACCTAATACAGCATCTGAGGGTCAAGCACCAGCAGATTTGGCTGATCAATTGTCAAAAGCTAAGAATCGTGCTCAAATGTACGAGTTGGTTAAAGGGCACGCGGCTGGTACAGTTCCTGAATTCTTGAAACACCTGCCAGAATGTGTTCGTCTTCCAATACCGATTCGAGATGCCAGACGATTTAAAGTTGGTCAGGATGAAGAGTTCTTCCCAGGGCAATATGTGAGAATGGAAGGCGCAGAATACATTGTTGTACAAGCACCAACAAAGAAAAATTACCCCTTGATTTGGAGAGCAGTTCAACAGGTAAAACAAATGAGTGGGGCTAGAGGAGCTTGAGATTAGAGATAGGATGGTTTAAGAGTAGGAAATCTATATCTGAAATTTTCAACTTGTTCTCATAGAGTTTTTTCTTTTTTGATTTTCCCAAATCAACATGCTTAGTTCTTAGGATCGTGTGAGATTGATGGTGTGTCTTTGTCACGACGAACAGATGAGCAATTCGGATGACTCAAAATGCTATACCTACTTTCCAACCGAACCCGAACAAACGATGGAAGTAGATCAAAAGAAGGGAAAATTCACAATCGTCTGTAAATCTCGTGATGGTCTGAGCATGGGAGCAACGAAGTATGAAGTGGAATTGACGGACAGTGAAGCGATTGTAGATAAGAACAGTGATGATCCGAATGCAGTGAATGAGAAGACTTGTAGAATTCTCATTTTCCATATGAATACGTGGAGCGGACAGAAACCAGAATCGGGCAATGTTTTGGAACAGGCACTGAATGTTGCTCTCTTCTTTCGTGAAGTTAAGAAGCACGAGATGAATGTAAGAACCTTTAAAATGAGATTAGGTCAGAAATCGGGCCATGTTTAGATTCTTCGCAAGAGTATGGAGAACTACGTATCACCTGTCATGCTTCAATCATTCGATGGAATCAACCGTTCTGCTGTCGCCTGGGTGGCATTGATGTTGTTGAGAGATGTTGAGAAACGAGAGTGTTTTGATGTTCCGAATCTGATGAAGTCGATCATGAAATGGCGTATGGGATCCATTTCCAACTACTACCAGTTCTGTTTCTGTATGGCCGTCTGTTTGCATATTGGAAAGGATGTCAAGTGGTGTGAGAATGTGAGTATTATAATTAAGATTCTTGAGATAAATATATTTTTCAGGACTGCAACACTGCTCTGGCCGATTTGACTGCAAAGTTTGGCGAAAGGAAATTGAATGAACTCGGGAATTTGGCTGTCTAGAATAAAGTTTTCGAAAAGCGAAATTGTTTTTTTTATTAAATTCAAAAATAAGTCTTTAATCAATGGGAACTGTTGCAGTCTTCCAGATGTTGGCAATTGCATTATCGTAGTTTTTTGCTCCTTTCTTTCCTTTTGCTTCCATCTGAATCATTTTGGCTCTATCTGCTTCTCGCCTAGACTGCATTTTCTTGTAAAAGTAGATCGCCGCTGGTCCTATTGCAAAGGTGTACGTGGAAATCATCTGACAAAATATATGTTGAGAGGGAATACCGTAAAAAACTGTATTAGAAAAGCCCCTTTATTAGAAGGACTCCTTTCAAAATATGTTGTTTGAAGTTTAACATTTCCGTACGTTTTCAGGAAAAATGTTCCGGAAGTTTTAAAATTTCACAAAAATTCGCTGAAACATTTTTTTGCTCAAAATTGGCTGGCTGGTTCAATTTGGTAAAATTGACATATTTTAATGAATTTTAAACGAGAATTCACTGATTTTCTGATGTGACCGGAAATTAGAACGACCCCTCTAATTAAAGGGCCCCTGTAATAGAAGGGTCCTCTGGAGATGCCTTGGAACTATAGAAGAGCCGGCCCTTCTAATACAGGTTTTACGGTATTCGAGACTTCTCACCGTCATCCAAGATGCTCGAACGATTGTCAAAGTTATTGGATCTTTGGAAACTAGGTCACCAAAATACTTGAATGAAATGTTGACAGAAACATAGACACCGAAGAAAATAACATGGACAAGGATCACAGAATATGAGAATTTAGTTGAGAGGAACACTTCTCCTAACTGATACTTGACGGATAATGAAGCATTTATTCTAGATGGATTACTGTAGTTTTTCGAAAAGAAACTCCTCATACTCACCGCATGACTTTTCGGTTTTTATAAATAAGGGGAAAACTTAGACCGAAATTGAATATGTTTAATGCTAACATCATTCCATAGAGCATATACATCTGGAAACAGTTTTCTAAGTTTTAAATTTTGAAAATACAAATGAACTCTTGGAGCCACTGATGCTGGAATAAACACGAATGAGATGGATCCTTGAACAATGTTTGCATTCAGAAAAACCAAGCAAATGATTAAAAAACAGAATATTATCTGAAAATCTCTTGAAGTTCTTGAAATGTCGTTCAGCTGGGAAGTACCAAGAAAATAGTGATGATTGGTCCCAAAAAGACTTTAGTCCTCTCGTAATATTTGGCATTTTTGATTGCCAGAAATCTCTCAAATGTAATGGAAATTGGGAAAAACGTCGGAGCAATCATGAAAAAACATCCGAAGAAGTTTCCGACTCGATAGAAATCTGGATTTATCAGAAGATCACAACTGGTCTTCGCAATGAATGGGTTCAACATTAATGAACTGAAAAACAACTATTCTTTCGAATTTCAGATTGATTTGCAGTTTTTCACCTCTAGCACCGAAAAAACGATTGCGAAAACTGTCATTGTTCCAAAGTAACCAGCCAGAAGCCACTGAAACTCAAACCTATTCCATATTCAAGATATTCGTCTTACTTTAAGGTTTCCATGAAAATTGGATTTCCAGAGTTGAAAAACCAGGAAATAAGAAAGTGGAAAAAATGCGAGAACCAGGATAAATTGTTGATAAATCTGAGCAGTCCGATATACTGGATTGAATGACAATAAATGTGCCTAAAATGTTTCAAATACTGTTTTGTTTTCTACAGTAGTCCACAAAAAGTATGCTTCCACCCTTCGTTTGTACAACTATAACACCTATTAGGTTGATGAGGAAGTTTCTTCCTTTTTGACAAGGTTGTTCTTGAGGCTCGATTTCTAGCTTTCCAAATAGTTTACAAGGCCAAACTTTCTTTGTTGGGAAGCTGTAATCAGTGTTCATTACACCGTAATTTTTTTTTCATTCATGCCTCACCTCGTGTTGGAGTAATGACGGTTCTTTTGGACATTATCCGTCGGCACATACGCAACATGATTATATTTTTATTTTTATTTCGTCTTCAAACACCGGGAATTTGCAAGAAAATTGTGAATGTATATAAGGGACATGTTCGGTCATTGCCTACAATTTGCGTTTAGTTTGAAAAATTCCGCCCCGAGGAGATCAGTTTGAAAGATGGCAACGACCTAGTCAGCCAGATCTCGATCAATTACTGAAAGTCGCGAACGCGGATCTATTTCAAACCACTTGTAAAATGTCAAAGGCATTATCCGTTAGTTCATCATGTATCGTGAACGGATTGAAGTCTCTTGGCAAAGTCAAAAATTGGGTCGATTCATACCCCGTCCTGTCGACATGAGCATGTTTCTCCTATCATTTCTTCGCATGTTCAGTTGGGTGAATGATCTAATTACCGTAGATGAGAAGTGGGCAAGTTACTCTATCAACATGCGGAAGGATCAGTTGGTTGACATAGAAGGACTAGCTCTGGACGTCTCGGAACCCAAATTTTGCATAAAAATGAGGATGCTATGAGTTTCATTGTCTGCCAAAGGAATGGAGACTGGGAACTTTTAGATGAAAGAACCATTATAACCGACACCTTGTATAATGCCTAATTATAGAAATTGAATCTAGCAGTCAAATCAGAACGAGGAGAAAAACCCAGGTTCACTTCCAGTGCGACAATGCGACATCACCCGTGAATAGAGGGATCAGCCAAAAAATCTTGTCGTTCGGCTGAATTAATTTTTTGCGTTCATCGTGTTTTCCGGACCTTGCTCTTTCGGATGAATGGTTGTTTGAGGCTGTTCAACGTTATCTTGACAGAAAAGACTTTAAGTTAAAAGATGACACAAAAAAGGAGGTACTATTTATAGTTAAATGCTCATGGACGTTATTTTCATTGATCTTGGCCACTCAGCTTTGAGGAAAATTCTATCAAAAATTTTGCCAAAACAGGAAGAAACTTTCTTATCAACCTAATATTTAGATCAATAATCATGAACAGGTGTATACATAGAAAATAAAGGTCTTCCCTCAAAATCTAATTTCAAAAAACTTGGAGCCATCAATGAGACACAGAAACAAGAAATTCCTGAAAAAACACGTTTTGGCCGTTCCTCAAAAGGCCTGATTTCCCAAAATTTTAAGATTCTGACCCCTATACACAGGATACGGAGATCTGGATTCTGTATATATATTTCCGGATTTCGAAATCTCGATTCCTAGATTCAGAATTTCGGATCCCGGATTTCGAATTCTGGATTATGTGTACTGCATCGAGTTTACTGGATTTTGGGATATTACTTCCGGAATCTACATTTTAGATCCCGGATTCTGGATTCTGGATTCCAGATTCTAGATTAGCTTCTTGAATGAGTTCAAATGTCCCAAGAATCTGAAATTCAGGTTTTCTTGGTAAGTAAACAATTTCGGGAGGTTACTGGGAGAGTGTAAAAGTTTCTGAGATTCTCCAGAAATAAGAAAAACGGTTCTGAAAGATTTCCAACTCCGGTTTCTCAATGTGTCATGTCAGTATGTCAGAACCTCATAAATTTTCGTTACATCCCAGAAACGTTTAAAAAATCTGAATTGTTGAGAGAACCAAAACTTCAGATTTCCGGGACATTTATACTTGTTCAAGAAGATATTCCGGAATCCTGAATCCAAAATACAGAATCAGGAGTGTATGTATCTCCAGTGATGCAGTACACATAATCCAGAATTCTGAAACTTGAAATCCAAATTTCGAAATCCGGAAAACTGATATCATGAATCAGGAACTCAGCTACCGAGTATGAGGTTCCTTGTGATTAGTGGTCAGACTCTAAAAATTCTGGTGATTCAGGCCTTCAAAAGGATTTCACAGAGCTTCAAAATCTCCAAAACCCTATTTTTGTGGAACTGCAAAAACGTGTTTTCCGGAATTTTTCCGGTTTCTAATTTCTGGGTCACAGTAATGGCTTTTGTGTTCCAGTACAAACGAAGGGTTGAAGCATCTTTTTGTGGAGTACTGTATAAGCTTTATGAAAATTACCGTGATACAGTCAATTGGAACTGGAGAAGATTCATAAGGAGCAGTTGTCATTTTCAACTCGAAAACGAAAAAGGAACTAGGCAGAAAGAGTTCTTTCCTTTTGAATAAAGCCGTTGATTTCTGATTCCCATCTTTTTCGTATATTTGGAACTAATGAGAAAACCTTCTGAAATTTAGTGCTTGTCACTTTTTTGAAACTTTGGGAAAATTTTTCGTCGAATGGAAATTCTTGGAATTTAATCTCGATAAAACTTTTTTGGTTCCTTGATCTGTCTGATTTCGTTGGTTCCATTCTTTTGATTCTCGAGATGTATTTTTATGGGCGTATCGAAAAAGTAATCGTCATGCTTATAAACTTTATTAAAACTGAAAATGTGATGATGAGTGTGGGGTTGGGAGCAATAGAAGCATTATTCGACAGACATGAAAAACTGAGTGGTAAACATTTTGGTGAGAAAAGAGATCGAGTGAGGGAAACTATATGGTACATAGAAAAAATATGGAGATATTAGTAAGAATAATGTAATTACTCTGATAATCAGTTGATTGATTAATTAATCGTTTGAGGGATAAAACGAATATTAAGCCAATTAGATGAGACCTGCTTGTCTTGCCATGGAATAGAATTCTGACGTTGAATCGGCCAGAAGATTTTTAGGACTATCAAACTCCGCAACTTGGCCTTTGTTCAGAACAATGATTCTGAAATATAAGGTTAATGTAGGGTTTTTGAAAGCAATATCTACCTGTCATAATCCATTATGGTGTTGAGACGATGAGCAATCGTAAGCACAGTGGAGTTTGCAAACTCTTTACGGATCGCTTTTTGAAGTAGAGCATCCGTGGAAACATCAACAGCAGCAGTGGCTTCATCTAGGATGAGCACTCTGGTTTTACGAAGAAGTGCACGAGCAAGGCAAACCAGTTGACGTTGTCCCACACTAAAAACATATCCTATTTTTACAAAATTCATGGAATACCAACCTGATGTTATCACCTCCTTCCGTAATCACGTAATCAAGTTTTTCCTCCTGTGCAATAACAAAATCTCGAAGATTAGCTTGTTCAAGACTATTCCAGATTTCATCATCCGAATAATGATCAAATGGATCCAAATTGAAGCGCAAAGTTCCCGAGAACAAAACTGGATCTTGTGGGATAATCGTCAGATTAGTTCTCAAGTCTTGAAGTCCAATGTCTGCCAAGTTAATTCCATCCAGAGTGATCAGACCTTCTGCAGCTTCAATGATTCGGAACAGTGAAAGGGTCACTGAAGACTTTCCAGCTCCAGTACGACCGACGATTCCGATTTTCTCATGTGGATTGATCTTTACATTCAGCTGTTTGATGACCAAATCAAGACCATCCCGATAGCGAGCTGAGAAATTGTTGATGACGATTTTTCCCTCCGATGGCCAGTGTTCTGGTGGCTCCATTCCTGGCTCGGATTTCCACTCGGCTTCGGTTTCAGTTTCAGCATACTCCATTACGCGCTCCACCGAAACGATGTTTGTTTCCAGCTTTGTAATCTGGCGCACTGCAAAATTCAGCACGGTCGTGATATTCAAAGCATACGAAACCGAAAGTCCAATCACTCCAGAAGTTGTTGTTGAACGTGTAAGAGCAGCGAATAGCGCTGAGAAGAGCACAATGCAGTTTCCAATGAATTCCAGACGCACTGACAACCATCGATTTGCCACGTAGTTCAGATATCGGCATTGAACATGTGAATCCACCTTCTCTTCGGACAACTTGCAGAAACGATCAGTGAGCTCGTACGCACGGATGGTAGCAGATCCATGAATCGATTCGGACAAGTGACTGTAGATAGGAGATCTTGTGATGGATTCCAAACGCTTCAGCTGTCGAGAAGTGGCAATGTAGTACCGCATGACCATCAGATACATCAATGAGAGGGGGATGACGACGATTCCAAATACAGGAGTCGAAATCATGATGATGATGAGCGTTGAAACAACTTGGAGCAAACACTGGGCGAAGAATTGAACATTGAAAGGAAGGAGAACGTCGACTGTCTCGATGTCTTTTCCTATACGATTCAAAATTCTACCAAATGGAGTGGTATCGAAAAATGACATTGGAACACGGAACAAGTTGCGCATCAGAGGAGCATGGAGGTTTCTTGACGCAGAAACACCACCGTAGAGAAGGGAAAGCATACCAATGAACAACAGGATAACTGAAAATAAAAAAATTCATCAGGCAAAATTAAAAATTCTTACTTTCGGAGAATCCGAGACCAGCATAAACTCCGAGACGAACTTCAGTAGTTTTACCAGTCAAATCATCTCTCGAACGAGAATTATCATTTGACCAGTCGGTGAGCCACAAACTTCTTCCCATTGAAATTATAGTGCTGATTGTCATTCCAAGCACAAAAGTGACAGCGATCGGGAAACCCATTGCTCCAAAGTATTTATAGTACGTGCTCATCTTGACTCTTCCTGTTTCCACTCTTTCAGTTCCAGTCAGTTGCCGAGTGTTTACCGTAGCTGATGTAACAGATTGAGTACGAGACTTTGTAGATAGATGCCGACGGTTTTGTCTTGGGAAGGAAGTGCTCATTTTGCGGCGATTGATAATTCCTGACACGGTTGATAGATGGCTGACACCCAAAACATGATCGAGAATTGGAGATCCCATTACGTCATCGTCGTATTCAATGTCAGAATCTTCGTCGATATTCACTAAAACCAAAAATTTTTCTTACACAAAAACTCAAAAATACAGAAACTCACCGCCTCTTGGTTCCGAAGCATTGTCGTCATCACCGTCTTGCGATCTTTCAGTTGCACGCCTCTCTCTTTCTTCCTTTGCACACTCCACGAGCAATTGTTCGAAAGCTCCTTGTTTCATCAAATCACGATACTTTCCTTCATACTCTATTCTACCATTGTTCATCACAATTATCAAATCTGACTGCTCAAGGTAAGACAGTTCGTTAGTCACTAAAATTCGTGTCTTGTTACGCAGCAATCCTTCTGGACCAATCACCGAATTGAACATTTGGCTTCCGACATGAGCATCAACGGCGCTCATAGGATCATCCAGCAGATAAATTTCATGATTCTGATAGACAGAACGAGCCAAGGATATGCGAGCTTTTTGGCCTCCAGATAAATTTATTCCTTTTTCTCCAATTTCAGTGTTGTCCCCATGTGGAAGAGCGAGAAGATCAACTTGCAAAGCACAGGCATCCAGCACACGGAAATAGAAGTATTCATTGTACTGTTTTCCGAATGTGATGTTGTTGCGGACGCTGTTATTCTGAATCCATGGTTGTTGTGGCACGTAGCAAAATCTTCCGTGCACTGAAATCGAACCACTGAGCTTCTCCATTTCACCCATCAATGCTTGCAACATGGAACTCTTTCCAGCACCAACACGTCCAACGATAGTGACCAACTGTCCTCGATTTACAGAATAACTGATATTGTGTAGACTAGGAACTGGATCATTTTCTGCGGATTCCCAAGACAGAGTTGCGTTTTTGATATCGATGACGTCATCATCTGTAATTACATTCATCGAGACTGATTCAAATTCGTAAACTCACTATCACGGGCTCTGTGGTCAATGGCTTGTGTGTTCAATTCTTCCGACTTCAAAAATTCCTTCAGTCTTTTGTTGGAAACAATAACCTGAACAGTCTGTGTGATCAGTTCAGCAACTTGTGACATTGGAGAGCGAAGTTGATTGAAAAGTGTCAGAGATACGAACGCAATTTCCGGAGTCAACACATTCTTCGGATCGATGTAGATGAACGTGGCAAAAGTCGAAACTGCGACGAGGAATGGGGATGCACAATTGAGCATATCGGAGAATGTTCGTAAGAACGCTGCCTTCTTGATGAAGCTCAATTCCTTCTCTCTCAAATCTCCGATAACGTTCTCCATGGGTGGCTCCCATGCGTACAGCTTAATCACTTTTATCCCATTGAGCACTTCGTTGACCATCTTGGTACGCTCATCCTTGTACTGCATCTGTGCGATTTGCCATTTCCGAATAACCATCGTAATTCCGAAATTGATTGGAAAGAGGAGAACCATAACAGCGACACCGCTGAATACAGACACTCCGAGCTGCTGGAATAAGAAGAAAAGAGCCAATCCGATCTGGAGGGGGTTCGACCAGTATTGCATGATTTGTGGTGTGATTTGTTGGAAACGATCCACATCAATGGCCATGAGATTCACAATCTCTCCGACTGTCTTCTCACGACGAGCTGCATTTGATAAGCGCAATGTCTTTCGATATACTGCTGCAGTGAGACAAGTTTGAACTCTAGTCCCAACTCTAAACATCAGATAGTAGTAGTGAGAGAGTAGAATCGAAGAGAGCTCAGCGGAGAAAAACATTGTGAATGCCAGAGCCACTCCTTGCCACATCGGACGATCCAATTGCTCAGTGAATCGAATTAATGACTTCAATAACAGTGGGTTACAGAAGAGAAGGATGTCGGAGATGAATTTGACGAACATGGCAATGCACACATCCCATTTGAACATTAGAAATAGTGTCCAGATAATCGAAGGAATCTGGTATTGAGATTGGTTGGAAGGAATCGGCTCGCAATGACCCGGAGAATCGTGGAGTAGTGGACGTTTTTCTTCAGATGCATACCCATCATTTTGAGCGATTTCTGAAAACAGTTCATGCAGTGACTTTTACTTACTAGGGAATGGTCAGAACTTATACCGCGATCGAGACATACCAGTAGGTTCAGTGAAGAGAAGGTTGCTTCCTGATTCCAAAACAGTTTTCAAATTTTGCTAAATGGCCCGGAGAACCGAGATATTTGTGCTCCAAAATCGAGCGATAAACCATGTAAATTTCAACTTTTGCCCCAGTTCCCTCTCACAAACACCCATTTCTAAACCGCCACCATTCACCTGTCCAAAGCGTGGTCTGGTGGCCGAGTGGTGTGCGCGCTTGTCTGGCGATCTGCTTTTGCGGGTTCGAACCCACCTTCTTTTGGACCTTTTGTTTTTGCAAAGGGGAATGGGGGCGGTTAAGAAAAGGGAGGAAAGAGAGGGAAGTGGGGAGACTGAACTGGGGCAAAAGTTGAAATTTACATGGTTTATCGCTCGATTTTGGAGCACAAATATCTCGGTTCTCCGGACCATTTAGCAAAATTCGAAAACTGTTTTGGGATCAGGAAGCAACCTTCTCTTCACTGAACCCNCTGGTATGTCTCGATCGTGGTATAAGTTCCGACCATTCCCTAGTTATAGCTAAGCCTACTTTTGCTTTTTGCGTTCCATAAATTCAGCCATTTGGGAACCAACAATCCAGATGTATCGTCATCGTTAAGCGAATAGAGGTCAGATATTTCCAGCGGTTTTCGGACGCCAAGACGACACAAAGCACCGAACCACCACATTGTGATTCGATTCAAAAAGGAAGATGTCTTTTCAGGACTCGGGTTTCGAGGAGCATTCAGTTCTTTGTAGCCGTCTGGAGAAATGTCAGTGAAACAGTGAAGATAAGTTTCCGCGGTACAACAGAAAAACCATATCAAAAATGCGACGCATCTCGGATAATCTAGCAGATCCCACTCATCCGTTCGAGAAAATACTTGTTGAATCCAATACAAAAGCTCAGGGACAGCGGAAATTGTGAAAACGAGCCAGCACATGAAGAGTCCTCCGGAGGTCAATATTCCATAGTTGCGGAACGATATAATCAGCGCAGTTAGAACAATCTGAAAAACGGAATTAACCTGAATCTAATGAATGTTTTCTTGTAGGTTACCATTGCCAGGAACAGAGTGATCGGGAAAACGAATTCTACTGCAGCAGGAACTCGTTCGAACAGTGTCTCATAAATGGGGGCAGCAAGCATTGCAAGTGAGTCGGCGATCAGAATACATGAAAGTACGACTTTCGCTTGAAGTCGTTTCGTCCATTGAATAGGATTCAGCCGGAGAAAGAAAATTTGAGCAGTCAGAAATGGTGCGATCAGGAAGAGTGTTACAGTTGGAAACCATATGAGTGTAGTATGCTGGTAGCATCGACTGAGAATCGGAATTTTCGGTTCGTCCCATATCGCAGGATTCTGAATATTTCGTTTTCGTTTTTACAACTATCAAAATGCATAAGAACTCACCCAATACTGTTCACCACAAAATTCGTCTATTCCTTCAAGCATTTTTCGTATTTCATGCCCTTATTGCAATCAATATTTTATTAGTTTGTTATTGTCGTATTAAAAAAAGTGGGACCTGAGAATTTGAAAGCGTCGCTTTTTTTGATCTACTAAAAAGTGCGGCAAAAACGTAATATTTCAGACTTTTGGCTCGTTCGAGCTGCTTTCGCAATTAAGTTCGGTTTTTCGATGAAAAACAGATTCTAGAGATGCTAGCGATCATTTTCATACCAAGAAATCTAAATTTTGTCCAGAAAATCCCATTGAATTCACAGAAATAAGTTTCGTTTACTACTGTAGTGATTTTGAGGCAAGGCCTCGAAAATTGACCGGGAAGCCGCCCGCGAAATTTTCCAGGTCCCACTTTATTTAATTCGACAATATTATGATACTACCTGAAAATTTTCGGAATTAAAAAACAACAAAAAGAAAGAAAAATAGAGGTGAAGCTGAAATGCGGCGGCTGCGAAGAACAGCGAGGGAAGGAATTCGAATTCGAAATTACGCGCGCGCATTTCTCGATCAAACAGACTACAATAGCCCGCTCGATAAAAACTTTGCAAGTCTGTCAAATCGATCACATACAAGATTCGAACCTATTTCTATAGGTTTCAGTTAAGTTCAAGCGATATTTCAGAAATTAGGAACTGTCAAAGTTCTAACAACGATCAGATTTTGGAGATTTTCGGAGCCCAAAGACAATATTGGGCTGAAAAATTTTGTCAGAATGCTATTTTTATCGTTTCTGAATGATTGGAACGTTTTTTCGCACTTTTCAAAAAATTTTCAAAAAATTAATCTCCAAGTGTGGGGGGTGAATTTTTTAAAGTTTTTCAAAAAAAAATTTTTTTTTGAAAATGTTTAAAAGTTATTTTAGAAAATAGAAAAATGTCCATAAATGAGTTTCGCACTCAAGCAAATCCAAAAAAACCAATTTTTAACCTCGAAAAATGCATGTTTTTGGCCAAAATTTAGTGCTAAAAGCACTTTCAGAGGCCATATTTCGGATCCTTTTGAGAACGGGCTAAAAATTTTTTGGATTCGGATTCAGCATGTTCGAAAGTACCTTTGTACAAACCGTTGTCTGAAAAACCTTCCCTTGTTAGTTTTCCAATTTATTTCAAGTGAAATAGCAGAAAAATCGACGCAAAGCAGTGAAAACGAGAAAACGAATCCTGAAACTATACAATTTTTTGGTTACTGTAATTTTCGTTGTGGGACTTTCGGCAACGGCTGCTGTGTTTCTCTTCCATAGCTCCGAGTTCTTGTACCAACAAAATAACAAATAGATTCTTGTCAACTACAGTAATCCTCTCTTTCTAAATATCAGTTTTCAAATATCCATCTGATTCTGCTGTTCCGGTAAATGACCTCCGTTTTTGATCACCTGTTACAAATGGCGTTTTCTCAAATCTGTTTATGCCATGTGTCTCTTCATCTCTTCTTGACTAATACTTCAGACTTCGCAAGACCTAATATATGTCTTCAGTTTTTTCTGATGTTACCTTCAGATGAAAAGTAGCATTGTTCCGCTTTCCTGATGTTTTTCACTTCCTGCAAAAATCAAGAAATTGTAGCAACGCCCACAATTTTCTTGTATGAAACTAAAATCTTGTTTAAAAAATCCACACAAAACAAAAACGTTTGAAGAGAAACTTCTAGTCTCTGTGGCTACCGTACTCTCCGGTTTGACTGTTGTCGCATGCCTTATCGTTGTTCCGTTCTCTATAAGACCATTGATGAGATCCACAATGAAGTTCTCGATGGTGTCCGTGTATTCCGGGAAGAGACTGATTCTGCTTGGACCGAAATGATGGATGTTCAAGTATTGGTGACACCACCAACCAAGCCACGTGTCAATCCATTTAACTCAGTATTCCGGCAGAAGCGTCAGACATTCTCTGAACTTCCGGCTTGGTGTCAATGCGAACCAAAGAAACCAACATGCCCGCCAGGACCTCCTGGACCACCAGGACCTCCAGGACAACCAGGCAAAACAATTCGTTCTTTTTCGGCCTATTTTTTGTTTTCAGGAACACAAGGGTCTCCAGGACCAAAGGGACCGGACAGTACTACCACTTACGCTCCAATCGAGTGCCACAATCCAAAACCAGGATGCATTAGCTGTCCAAGAAAACTTCCTGGACCAACCGGACCAGCAGGACCAGCAGGCCAAAAGGGACCAGACGGACGTCCAGGACAACCAGGACACACTGGAAAGCCAGGAGCACCGGGAAGTCCAGGACCAAATGGAGCAATGGAGGTTCAGGAGCCGCTGGAGGACCAGGAAAGGGAACAGCTGGAGCTCCAGGAGCACCAGGAAAAGCTGGCCCAGCAGGACGAGCTGGAGAACCAGGAAAGAATGGTTCTGATGGATCTCCAGGAACAGCTGGACCAGCTGGAGGGCCAGGACAACCAGGAAACAAAGGATCAGATGGACATCCAGGAACTCCAGGAGCTCCAGGAGGACCAGGACACGATGCTGCCTACTGTGCCTGCCCACCAAGATCTGCTGTCTTTGTCTCCAAACATTGAATACCCTATCAATAAATATTTGAGTATTTCCAAAACGTTTGATGGAAACAGGTTTTTGTTAATCTACAAAAAATTCATTAAAAAATCAAAGATTTAAACAGAGAAATTAAGATGGATTCAAAAAAGTGTTCTCCTTCTGATTGGCTTCTTCAAAAGCTTTCCATTTTCTAACTTCTTCCTCCCGGTCCTTATCCTTAGCTTCTTTTCTTTCAACTCGTGTTTCCTCTCCAGTTACTTGCACAATTACCTTTTTGGATTTCTTCTTCCTCATTTTTCTCTTTTTCTTCTTCTCCATCATTTTGGACTGTTCCAGCTTCTTCCGTTCTTCTTCTTTTGCCTTCTCCTGCTGTTTCATATAATACAGATAACCAACGACAGCCGAGATTCCAACACAAGCAAACATTCCAAAAATGAACATTCCAATCAACAAAGTTCCTTTGGATGATGATGAAGGATTCGCTGGCTCTGGAGCTGGAGGCGGAGGAGGCGGAGGTGGAGGCGGAGGAGGCGGAGGTGGAGGCGGAGGAGGCGGAGGTGGAGGCGGAGGAGGCGGAGTAGGCGGAGGAGGTGTAGGAGGTGGAATAGTAGGAGGAGGTGTTGGTGCCGGATTACGCTGTATATTCCTGATGTTACGATCATTATAGTCATCCTTTCCCAAAGATCCACGGCGTCTTCTAAAAGAAGAGCCTCCATTATCTCTCTTTTTTGTTTTCCTACAGATTCGAACAGCTGAAACAATTTGAATTACTTCAGAAGAGCTAAATTTTTGGTGTAAATGGAAATATAATTCCAGAAAATCACTGACCCTTTCTTCCATTTCTCCGGCAGAACTCGTTTTTGATTGAATTCACGAACAACTCGCACTTTTTGTCCGAATCCCCGCGATCTTTGACACAATTCGAACTCAATTTTAAGTAGATCTTTTCACATTTTTCTAAGTTTTGAAATTTTAAAATTTCAGGAAGATGCTTATTCTTACTGACCAAAACTGTCGCTGTCTAGACATTGGTTCTCTAGTTGATGTACTCTAAAAATACAAGTTTTTTTAGTTTTTAATGATTGAGAAACGATTACATGTCGGATACAGTTTCTCGAGAAAGTTGCGTTGGTGAAGATAAAGAAAACATTCAAACTATCTTTCAAGAAAAATCCAACCTTTCACTTTCAGACAACCCGTTCAATGTCAGTTCAACATCCTGCCCTCTATTGACCCTTATTGCTCCAAATGATCAATTTATATAGTTAGTTCATTTTTAGTCAAATTAAAAGTATTCTCAAGAAAAAAAGTAAAATAAATATTTCACTTATCAGAAGAGGATAAAAATGAAAGACATAAAAAGCAAGTTGAAGCGGCAGATGCTATATTAAACTCTTTTTTTTATTTTTAAGATCGTAACGTTCTCAACGGAAATAATATAACACCATCCAGTACAACATCTACTACTACACTGGCTACAACAACTACAGTAACTACAACGACTACAATTATCACAACGACTCCAACAACCACAACTGAACTTCTGACAACTACAGAATCGTATCTTTCAACCATCGTAGCTGCAGTTTTTATTCTCCCTGCTATTGGTGCTTGTTTGATAGGAGCATATTTCGCTTACAAGTACTTCTTCAAAGTAGACAAATCAAAATCTGTGCCACCAAACAGAAAAATACAGAAAAAGAGCAAAGAAGAAGATACCAAAAAAGCCAAAGAAAAGTTGCGAAGAAGAGAAGTCGTCAACAATTAAATACGAAGAGAAGAAACATTTTTCTGGTATACTTGTCAATGTTTAGTCTTTTGTTTGAGTTTAAATAAATGATTAGTTTTTTTAATTCAAAGCTTTTGGGTATTGGCTGTGAGTTAGTATCAGACTCTTTCTCGTCGGATTTTTCAGTCAAATGAGTTTCGTTTTAAAAGTATACTTGTGTTTTTTTGACAATTTCTCTTCCCTACAGTAACCCCCTATAGTAACCCAATATTTCTCTCTACAGTAATCTTCTCCATTTTCAAATATTTTTCCCTACAGTATCGGTTTTCGAGTATTTTCCCTACAGTATCGGTTTTCGAGTATTTCCCCTACACTAATTATTTTCATTTTGGAATATTTTTCATCTACAGTAATCCTTCTCGGTTTTGTCATCCATGCAACACGGATGTTTTGTTTCAACGAATCTGTTGAGATTTCGTGACAGATGACGATTTTTTTTCTCCGGTTTTCCAATTTCAACTTAAAAAGGCTGAAATAGTTGAAAAGTATCCGTTTTCAATTTTCTGACTTGAGAACTTGTTTTTCTGTTGCTTTAGATGTTCTTGAAACTTCTGACATTCTATAGTTCGTTTCCATGCCTTGTTTTTTAGTCAATTAAAAATATCAGCATCATTTTGTCCTTGTTTTTTTTCTCACGGTCTTTGTTCAACCAAGGACACCAGAATTTTCCCATCCCACGTCTTCAGGCGTATTCCGTCTGATCAGTTTTCTTCTTTTAGTTTCTTCACTGTCATCCAGAATTTTCTTAATCAGAAGTTCAGTCGTTTGATCTTTACAGATATTGTAAGGCTATTTGTTTTGTTGCCTTTGTATTTCAGAAAAAAACTTTGACTGTAAGTACCTTGAAACCACCCAAACTTTGAGCCCATATATCTCGGTTCCTATAGAAGATAACAAAACGTGATTTACTGACAAAATGTTGCTAATATTATGGTGAACATTTTGTCAGTTGACCAATTTTTCATATCTTTCACAGGAACCAAGATAGATGAGCTCGAATTTTGGGTGACGTTCTATTGGAGTGTTTACGGTAACTGATTATTGGTGGATCAATTTGACCTGATGAGAGATTTCGATTTATTCGACTATGCCCGTTCTATTAATTAAATTTCAAACTCTTTTGTCAGACACTATTGGTTAAAAAATTACTATCAGTCAACTGACCGGAAGTTTTCCCATAGAATTCTCATTAGTCAATGGGAACTTTTGAATAGAGTTTCATCAGTGTGACTGGCTACAACTTTTTGGTGATCTTTTTTCTTTAGACTACCAGAACGTCATCTACATTTCTTAGGTTTCTTAGGCTCTACACATTTCTTAGGTTCCACACTGTGTTGTTTTTCATAAAGAATCTTTTTTGCTCTGAAAACCAAAAGTTTCGAAAACGACAAACAAGTATGACTCGTTAGTCTTTTGATACCGTTTTTCAGAATTTCAGCACATTTTATGTTCTCTCTCCACGGTTGAGAATTTCGTTTTTCTTTTTTCTCACTTTGTAAAAATTATGAAACACATTTCCATATCTAACTATTTCTGTAGTTCATATTTTCAGATCGATATGTCATTTGACAATCTTTTCAATTATGCTTATGCTTTCGTGATTCTCTCCTACATTTATATGCTCCTCACAGTTGGAGTAGTGTGGAAAATGTACAAGGTCTACTACGCAAATAAAATGATTTTAAAAGCAATTGTAGTTCATCGATGCCTGTTTCAGACTTTTATTTGGATGCAGATTGCGGTTGGTCAATTGAAAATTAGATATAATAAAAAGACATTTCAGAATTTGCTATTTTTCATTTTCGACAATATAGTTTTCCGACTACCTTCAACAGGCTTCTTCACAAAACTCTGTGATTATCTGGCTCCAAGTCATCTGTTAAAAGTTTTGTACATGCTTCAATTATTTTCCAACTACAGTTCAATTTACTATTCATTCTTGTTTTGTTTAACACGACTCATCATACTCTTTATAACCGAAAGTCATGAAAAGGTGAGGAATATATTCTTGATTATGTAAAATGAGAAAGAGTTAATTATTTTTAATTACTGCAAACTCCGAGACATAAACTTAACCAAAGTTACAGTATATCGAAAACTATACAACCAGAAAGAGAAGTATACCGTAAGCACTCTAATAAAGTTGCCCAACCCTTTAATTTTGAGTCTATGTACCTCCTGTGAATGATATCAAAAAGTAGTCAACTGACAAAATATTTTTGATATTATGCTAAAAATTTTGTCAGTTATTCACCTTTACATATCTTTTACAAAAAGCGAGATAAACAGGCTCGAAGTTGACATGTTAGGTGTTCTTCCTTCTATTAGACCGTTTACAGTAAATTACTCAAACTTTCTAACCATCTATAAGTATGGTTTCAGATTTGCAAGAAACTCTGTTTTGTATTCATTCCCATTACATTGATCACTCCAATCATTGCTGATTTCTACATGATTCCGGCTCCTGGAGCCTGCCGTCCTCTCAAACCTCCTTATCCACCAGGAGCCATATCCATCTCATACGGACCAAGTCTTTTCAATGTTCATTCCTTGATTTTTGATATTTCTGACATGTGTCCATTTTTAGATAAGAACTGATAACTTCATGCTTGGCTTAACATTTTTCGCGCCGGTTGCTATTTTATTTATGAACGCTATGGTGGTTTTTAAAGTTCGCAAACTGTTGTTTCAACGAAGAAAAACTACAAGCAGACATCACAGGAAAGCACAGATTTCTTTAACGATCACAACGCTAGCAATTATGGTTCAACATTTAGCAAGTGGAGGCAAAACAGTACGTTTTTTTCTAAAAGGATCTGGTTTCTCATTTCTATTGATTTAAGGTAGTTGGTGTCATTCATCCGGAATTCGTCCCTTATGCACAGCTCATCCGAAACCGTGTCATTGATTTTGGAATGATTTCAGTTCCTTGGATATTTTACTTCTCTCATCCTATGTTTCATGATAAAACGGCACGAGTTTCTTCTATGACATAACTTATGTCACATAAGTAAGTTTATTTTCAGAACAAAAATATCTCGACTTTATATATTACAGATTGTTATAGAAATTGTCAGATATGGGCGTCTCAATACTGGATCCTTTATTCTGAACTCTCTTCCGTCACTTTCTCGTCTTCCTCTCCGTTAATCTTCTTTTCATTATGTTTCTGTCCTGCTAACTCTGCTTTTGCCTCCATGTAATCCCGTTCTATCTCTTCCAGAGCTTTAATAGCCATCATTCCAACTGAAAATTATTGCTCATTAATACTGAAATTCAAATAAAAACGCACTCATTATATCCAAATATGCTTCTGCTTGAACCAGTCTCTCGAATGACCATTTTTCATGATCCTCGAGGAAGTACTTGACACGGAAAGTCCCATAGTAGACTAATGCTGAAAAATGAAATAAATCATTGAAACGGAATGGGTTGAGCCCAGAAAGTTACCTCCCCAATTTAAAGAAGAAAAGAACTTTTTGAAACTTACCATTCATACTGAAAACTGAGAGAAATATGCTGGTGACCTGGACAAACATCATCAAAATCGACAAATGAATAGCCAATCCAGTCAGATTAGCACTAGTCCAGCAGATACCAGTAAACGCATTCAGTAGTAATTCGGCATGTTGAAAGTAGGATCCTTCAATGAGGAACCCAGCTCTATCCATCAGACGAAATCGGAGTGATGCAAACAATACTAACAAACCCTGATAACAGATTAAACATGTTTCTGAATATATAGAGTACTTACCATACAGATTTGAAACTTCGTAGACATATTATATTCAAAATTCTATATAAGTTGAAAATAGAGAACACTCTTGTTTTCCTCTCTAAGCAGATAAAAACGACTTTCTTCGATAAAAACTCAAGGCCTTTTGCCGGTTACCAGGTGGTATTTCATTTCTCTTCTAGGCAGATGTCGTAAAAATAAATTTATGCTTAGTGCTCGAAAATGGATTTCTCTTTGAGAAGAAGAGTCGAAATTGGAATAGACAGAAGAACGAATAAAATCGAAATAGGGAATATTACCATAGGCGTCCGTCAGAGCGCTGTCGACGGTCCGTCTGCAACGATTCGCGTCTCAAAAACGATTGTCATTGAGCAGTCGTTCAACAATCTATTCTTTGAGGTAGTCTGATGTGAAGTAAAAAATTATTCTATAATGTATTGCGTGCATGAAATATCGTTTTCTGATTAATTTCCAATCAAAACTCTCCAGTTGATTTTTCAAGGGGTTCCAATTGCCCGTTAACGGTCCGTCAATAGACCGTGATTTTCCTTTGGCTCAGCTAATTAATTTGCAAATTTGTGCTTTTTCACCTGTAATTCAGCAGTTTTTTGGCAGTGCCTTAATATTATTCAAATTTATCAAACAAATTGTTTATATCAGAAAAACCAAACACCAATATTTCAAGACCGTTTTATCCAGATTTTCCAAACTTCAATTAATCGGAAATATCTGAAATGGGATTTTTTGAATAACTTAAATCGGCATCTTCCTTCTGCTTTAGCTGCGTTCTAGATGTATTGAAGATTGGAATATGTCATCTGCATTCTTTTAGAATCTCTAGAATCTTTAAGAATGCTCCTCCCTTTTTTAAATAGATCCTTGACTTCATAAGATTTTCTGAGACGTCTTCTGAAATTTTTTTGCTTCCTTTACACTTTCGAGTCCCGACGGCAATTTTTTAAATGTTAAGTTCCGCTAACTACGGTAATTTGGCTGTATAAGTAACGAAGGAAAAAAAAAAACAAATAGCCATCAATCAATTTTCCACTCATTTATTGTTTGTTGTTTTCGATAAAAATTTTTAAACAAAAAAAAGTTTCTATCACTTCAACAACCGAATTAATGCAACTCAAATCTTTGTACGATCTAATACTTTTAATTGAACCCGAATGTCATAAAATACAACAAGGAAAGCAAGAAGACTATACAATTTCCAGCACATTCTTCTCTTCTTTTTCGTTTTTCTCTTTGATTTTCTCCATTGCAAACTCGTAAGTTGGAGGTGGTTCTTCTGAAGCACTGCTCGTCGATGCACCATTTTCCATGTCATTATTTTGAGAAGTTTTACATTTTTGAGCAGATGCAGGACTATTACTTTCAGTTGGTTTTGGAACTGAAACTCATTTTTTAATGGTGAATACAGTTTGAAAAATCTTCGAAGCTTACGAGATTTTGCAAAAAGATTGTAGCTCGGAGGAGGTCTTCTGTTTTCGACGCCTTCTTGTTCTCGGTAGAAGGCAGCAATTGCATTGAAAAGGAAATAATTCTTGAAAAGATAATATTTTTATTTTTTGGATGATATGTGCTCTGACCTCGTAAATATGAGACAATAGCGCGATGAAGACCATCAGAAGCCGTGGAGCAGCACCAGAAGTTCCATTGTCGGCTTCGAGAATTGCATTGAAAAGAGCACATGCAGATACGACAACCTGGAATTTTTTTAAGTTTTGATTTTTTCGAAATAAATGTTTAATTTACCTTATAAATCACATCTGGAAGCATAACCGATGGTCTTTTCAGATATAAACCTGCAAAAGTACAAATCTTGGTTTTTTTTAGAATTTCAATATTTTTCCAAACCTGTTATAGAGATTCCAATCAAGGCAGAGGAGATGCAGAAAAGGACATCGAGAAAAACGGGTTGTTGGCTAAACATCCATGAGATTAGAATCAAATCAGCTGAGTAATTGAGCAACGAAATTGCACAGTATGCTCTTCGAGTCTGTAATTAGAGTTCTTACAACATCCGTAATTTTACACGAATTTTTTTCAGTCTATTTTAGGGATTTAATCTGGAAATTCGAAAATTTAGAGTTCCAGGACATTTTGAGCCGGTACTTCAGAAATCCGGAAATTTCGGAATTCAAAGTTAAGATGTTCTGAGTTTCGAAAATTCAGTAAGTCCGAACCACACTATAAATACAATTCAGGAATCCATGAATATTGGAACTTGTGAAAGTAAGACATTTGAAAGTTTCGAAATTTATAATTCGAAAATTAGGAAGTTCAAAGTATCGAAAGAAAATCTAGATTCGGAAATTTGGAAGTTGAGAAATTTAAGGTCTTGAAAATTATTAAATTTTGAAGATGGAAACTCAATAAATTTTTTTTCGAAAAAAAAATTCGAACTTCGAATTTCAGTATTTCAATATTTCATAGTTTTTAAAATTCTGAGTCAAATTCCTGTGTTTCCAAAATTAAGTTCTCAGAAGTTTCCGATGTTCAGAAGTTTCAAAATTCTGAATAGAAATTCGGGAATTGAGAAATTCCAAATTCAAAATTTCGGATTCAAAAGTTCAGCAATTCGAAAGTTCGAAAATTCTAGAACTTCAGTTTTTACCTGTATTTCAATTGTAAGAGTTTTTGAACTCCTAAAGTTTTAAATCAGAAAGTCCGAATTTTTACAAAAAAAGTTGTCAGCTTACAATTAGACGATTTTAATTATTGGAAATTGAGAATTTTTTAGACATTCTTTTAGTTTCTTTTTCTTTATTCCGCGCTAATAATATATGCATTCCAAGAGATATATTATTTCCAAATTTTTAATATTCATAATGTTTCGATTTTCGAATTTATAATTGACATTATTGTCGAATTAAATAAAGTGGGACCTGGAAAAATTCGCGGGCGGCTTCCCGGTCAATTTTTGAGGCCTTGTCCAAAAACACTACGGTAGCACTTGGGTTCAAGCGAGGGGGTCAGAAAGCGCGCCCCAGTAAATTTTTCAAAAATTCTCAATTCGCTGCCGAACTTCGTTGTCTGAGTATCACAGTTTTAAACGATGAGCGAGAATACGCGCGTTGCAACCCGTTGATTTTTAAGAAATAGATCATGATCTAGTTCAAACCCGCGTTCATTTTGAAATTATTAAATTTCTTCTGGCCTACGAGTTTGCTGGGGCGCTTTTTCTAACCCCCTCGCTTGAACCCAAGTGAGGTCCCACTTTTTTTGATTCGAAAAGATTTTGAAATTTTTTTGTTCATTTCGTTTAGTAACACATATTTTGATGGAATCTTATTTAATCAACTTTCAAAAAATCTGATTTTCAAACATCATATGTAAACCTAAAATTCCAAAGTTTTCAAATCAAATGCTTCACCTCAAACTCTCGAATATCTCGTTTTTTGAAAAACTTTCTCAGAAATTGTGTCATTATTCGCCATTCAAAAAAAATAGAAATATTTTAAGAAGAAAAATGAAGTGTAATTATTATCAAATAGTAGACATCAGAAAAGGAAATATGAGAAGACGTACCAGTTCCACAAGACCGCCCAAATCATCTCATTCATCGAAAATGACGAATTTTTGAGTAATTTTAACGAAAAATGTACAAAGATCTTCTAGTGGAAACAAACACCTACTTTCAAATGACGACTCCAACAATGCAACTTTTGCCAAATCCTATGGAAAACCAAGCCGAAATTCATGTTTGTTGATAGTAGAAGGGAAAAATAATCAAAATGATTCCAATGAAAATAGTAGTCGCCCACTTCTTTCGCTCATATCTAACCTCGTACAAAAGAATCTTTCATCTTCAAACTAATGACGTCGAAAGATGGTCGATCAACTGACAAAAATGGACGATGAATGCGAAAGATCATCTATCAAATTGTCTTTATTTCACATCTGTGATTACAAGAGAAATACAGAAAGTTGTGGGACGGAAATAGAGAAAAGGGATAATATGAGACTGCGTCGGTCCATCGGGCAAAAACAAACTAATGATCCATTAAATTTGTTATTGATAGAAATTCACTTCAAAAATTCGACAGATTGTAGGGACAGTTGTCCAAATCAAAACATCCTGTACCAATACAACCGGTTGAATTTGTGAAGTATGACAGAGGTGTAAAGCGTTTGCCTTAGTTGGGAAATCGAGTGGGGAACTTTGAAAACGTTAAGTTATCAGAGCAACAAGAGTGTGAAAAACAATGGAAAAGCTCTTGAACATAGGAAGGGGAAGCATGAAACACGAATCTTACACTAGGATAGAAAGGGGGTGGGGGATTATGCAATACAGAACGAGGAACTTTACGAGCATTGGGGCTGATATCGAGTATCTCGAATAAAGGGATAAGAGCTGGGGGGAATTAAAAGTTGTGGCTAGACATAAGGGCTCGAAACGATGTTTTGACAAATTTTGAGCCAGTCTGTCTGACAGCAGCACACCGCCTTTAACAAAATATTTACCTGTTTGAAGGGGTGGAAAATATTAAAAATATGTCTAGGGATAATAAAGAAAAAATTAGTTCTTCTTAAGCTGCTTGTATAGATCATCAAGTGTCTTCTGGTAGGCATTTTGAATCGGCTTTCTCTTCAACTTGAGAGCTTCTGTGAGAAGACCACTGTCCGGTGTCCAGATATCGGGACAAAGATGGATTGCAGCAGGAATTTCGGTGCGCGATAGTTTACCTGAAACAGAATTAAACGGTTAATATACTACATCAAGAAGATAACGACAGAATGAAACTTACTCTTCTTTGCGTGCTCCTCGAGTTGCTTCTTGTAAGCGGCTACTACTTTCTTGTCTTCGCACATAGTCTTCAATTCACTGGTGGAAACTCTCTCGGTTTCAGCGATTTTCTCCAGGTGTTTCTGATTTGGTACAACTAGGGCTACAACACTGTCTTCCATTCCGCATCCATATACGCAGATGTTGTCCACAATTGGGCAGTTAAGAAGTGCACATTCAACCTTTGCAAGCGAAACATACTCTCCATGCTGAAGCTTAACCAAATCCTTCTTTCTGTCAATGATCGTAAGCGAACCGTCATCTCTCTTTTGGCCGATGTCCCCAGTAGCGAAATAAACTTTTCCTTTGTATGTGATGAAGTCCTCGGCAGTCTTCTCCGGCTGTTTCCAGTATCCTGGAGAAATGTTCTCTCCGGAAATCAAGATTTCTCCTTGAGGTGGGTCATTGAATGGTGAGTAACCTCCTTCTAGCCATTCACGAAGAGCAATATCCGAACATCTGACTGGTGGTCCAACGGTTCCTGTGCTCAAGTCGTTGATATCGGCGACACAAGCGGCACCACAGGTTTCGGTGAGTCCGTATCCTTGAACAACAGGGCAGCACATGCAGATATTCATGAAGCGTTGGGTTTCAGCATTCAGTGGGGCACCTCCAGACAGAACTCCGCGAAGTTTTCCTCCCAAAAGTCTGCGAATTTTCTTGAAGACAATGCGATCAAGGAATGGGCTGCAATATCCTTCCAAGTATCTAGAACGCTTGCGCTCGTAGTTCAACTTGAACAACTCTTGCATAAATCTTGGAGATGCAGCTACTTCTTCCGAAACTGCCTTGAAAATACGGTCCATAATAGCTGGGACAGCAGCCATCAAAGTTGGGCGAAGAGCATGACAGTCACCGTGTGTTCCTTTTTGAATCTTCGAAGCGCGATCGTGAAGTGTAAGTGGTGAAGAATATCCGACCTGAAAAAAAACTAACTAGATATAAAAGTTGGAATTTCAAAGCAACCTTTGCTCCCTTTGTTAAACAAGTCAATTCAGCATCCAACTCGAGAATGTGAGCAAGTGGCAAATATCCGATGTAGGTATCAGTGTTGCAGATGATTCCGACTCCATCACCTTGTCCCAACATAGCAGCAACAACGTTCTGGTGAAGAAGGATAACTCCTTTTGGCTGTCCGGTTGTTCCTGATGTGTACATAATGAGAGCAATATCTGACTTGATTGCCGTTGATTCTTTAACTAGTTCTTCGTTGCGAGTAAGGAGTCCGTTGAGTGAGAGAACATGCTTGAATTGGTCACGGAAGGGAGTTAAATCTGGAGCAGGCCCTTTCGCATTCACTGGAGCAAAGTAGATCAATGTCTTCAAGGTTGGGCATTTCTTTCCGAGAGTAACGATTTTTGGTAGAAGTTCTGATGAAGTCACTAAGAACGTAGCTTCTGTCTCTCCAATTGCGTGAGCGATTGCATCTTCTCCCAAAGTGGCATACACGGTTACAATCGTTACGTTTGCACGGAAGCATGCCAGAGCGGTGATGAGCCAATCGGCACGAGTCTCAGCAAAAATAACCACTTTAGGATTCTTTTCCTCATTGGCAAGATCTTTGATTCCAGCAGCCAGACGAGCAACTTTCGTTTCAACCTCCTTGTAGCTTTGCCACTCGTACTCTCCCAGGTGCCATTTTTCAAAGACACGACCTCCTGGTTGTTGATCTTCGTGAACCTCAATGAGCTGTCGAGTTCCCAGGCAAGGTGATTCATCGTACAATTCAACACACTTTCTCCACACCTCAAAAAAATATACATCATTTCGAGAATCAGACTATAATATCGGATTATGAACACATTGTCTTACTTTATCGATTGTGTCTTTTCCTGGGAATGTTTCCGAAGCATGTCCTTGGACGTTGCGGATTGGCCCATCACGATCTTCCACCCAATTTGCCTAAATTATAAAGATTGTTAGAAGACCTACTAAGAAAAAATACCTTGACACGTTCAGATTTGCGTAGTTTCTCAGTTGGTGAATTGAACAACTGATATGGGAGATAATTGAGGCAATCGTATATGAAAAACCAGACTCGAAGAATAGCCATAGCTACACGAATCCATATCGGAGATTCGCCTTTCACCACCTAGAAAAAGTATGGTATACAAACTATTTTAACTCAGTGGAATTTTGCAAGATAAATGCAAAACAAACCTGGCCGAGTGTCTTATCCTTAGAAGAATCGTACACCGAAACTTTCCGTTTCATCTGGAAAATAGAATATTCGGGAAAAAAAAAGGAAGAATCGGTGCCGTGTTAAAGATACAACGAAAATCTGCATTGAAAAAAACATGACGCACAACAAAATGAAAAAGGACAGAATTTTGAAAAGCTTCGAGCGAGTGATTGGATGAAAACAAGAACGTTTTGTATATACGGAGACAAAGTGAATCGTCAAGTGAAAACAGTAGAGTAAAAAGATCAGAAAGCAAATATTTGACACATTTTCTGTTTAAAAGAGGGTAGCATATTGCAAAGTACAATAATCGATGTTGCTTCTTTCATAGTTTTAACAAACGGAACTCAAAGTTGCCGAGCAAGTTACTAATCATAAGATGAAAATATGGGGAAATTCTGACGACTGAGTCAATCACGGAATTAATTTTGTGATGATGGCAGACTTAGAAAATTTAAGACTGCAAAAGTCACAGGGGAGGTTTGGAAGTGCTGATAAGCCTGAATGCACACAGTATTTCCGGCATGTTTTCACGCACATAAACTAATTCATTTACAACTAGAAGAAAATAAGACGGACAGAAACAACCTAGGTTGAGGGAAACTGTTTTTATCAGTAGTATAATAAACATATTTATCACTAGAACTGATATCAGAAATAGTCAGTACTCATATTGTTCAGGTAAAATGTGAACTCCTTTTACAATTAATAGTATTTGAAAACGGACACTTGTCCTAAAATGACGTCTTCCTTTTGCATACCGCGTGGCAAGCAACATCGCAGTCTTCCACAGAAACGCCGAGAAGGAATCTAGAGGAGAGAAAGAGAAAAGGGAAACTGCACACGGGAGTAGTCTTTTCCTTTCTTTCTCTCCTCCCAATATTTCGAACAGAGGAGCGGCTCCCCTCTCTCGTTCTCTCGTATTCCGCGCAGTCTGGAGACGCAGACAAGGCCAGCAATAGCAAGATGAGCGCTTAGTTGAGAGAAAAGATTTGAATAATGAAAGAGCAAAAAAAAAAGGTTTCTATAAATATAACACACTATCCACCTAAAAAAGTGCAATAAACATTATACTTGGAATAAAAACTAAGATAATATGAAAAGAGTAGAAGAGGGTCAGGAGGGGCATGGATATGCGGAGAGCAGGTGCACATATTATCTAATTATGCGTTCATAGCAGATGAAATGGGTCAAGAGACTATGCAGTTATCGATCGAAAGTAACTTGAATGTATAAAATGCTCGTATTCCAAAGAGAAGTTTCGATTTGAAAAAAAAACAATCAAGACGAAAATGGCAGTGACTGTGTCGTTTCTCAATGTTCTGAATTTTGACAACACCTCAGTGCAAGAGTTGACGATGACTAAGGGAACGGGAAGGAGGAGACAACAACATACGAATGTTTCGCATTCTCGTTCGTTTTTTTACACGTTTACTAGGCAGCTGCAGTTGTGAAAGAGCGACTCAGTGATGGCGTGATTTTGTAGAGGGAACAGTCAACATAAATAAACAACAAAAACAATTCTAACTGCTACGGAAAACTATTTGAAAGCTTTTTGATTACAATGCATATAAATAATACTAGTGATATCGAACACATGAGCTTCGAGAACTAATTTTCCACAAAAAAGATGTTAAGACATGATCCTACAAGAAAAAATAGCCGAACGCTATTGAAATAAGAAAATCATAATATCTATTGGAAACCATAATGATAGTGACAACAGTATACTACTGATAATATATTTACATTATTATAAAATGAAAAAATATATACTTCGAGCTAGAAACACCGAAAGGAATAAAAAAATAGCTCGAGTGCGCTCATGAGAAATCCACGATGAAATTCGCGCCAACTTGGGTGGTCCGCAGGCACACTGACGAGATGTTGCGTACTAAATCAAATTGCCAAAAATGAAATAATTACCGTAAACTGTGTAAAAAGAGCTTTTCAATCAGAAGAGACTTCCACGTAAATAGAAAATCTTTATGAAACTTGCTCGGAAAAGTAATGACCCCTGTAATAGAAGGGCACACCGGAGAAATTTCGAGAAAACTGGTGCGGATTTTTTGCGGGGATTACTGTAACCTATATCAGTACACAAACACTTCATCCTACGATATTATGCTTGTCTGAGAAAAAAAATGTTAAAGATTATTTTTTGCAGTCTGAATACGGTAGCTATATCGAAACGGAGAGCCTAAACAGCACACAAACGGTGGAGACGCAGACACTTTTGCGTCTCAACCTTTTTTTTTCAGACAAGCATAATAAGTTGCGGATGAAAAATTCCCATTTCATTTTTGACACTGTGGACATTCTCAGTTGTTTTTGTTTCTAGAGACTGATTTTTAAGCACTTCTCATTACGATTGTGAACAAAATCTTATTTTTGCAGATGTTGAGCATTCCAAGGAATCCGAGAGGAGCTCCTCGTTTTATTTCGAGTGGCATGCATACACCAATGGTTAGTTTCATTATACTTCTGAGAAGCTGAATATGTCATTTTTCAGTTCAAAATTTAAAAACAATCGACGCCTATGCCTTACGACCATTTCCGACATGCTGCTGTCTCCCTCGAACAACATATCGCCTTTGGAGAACAACCACACTGTCCCATTGCAACGCCAGTCAAAGCAAAAATGTTTGTACCAACGCATACATCAACACCAGCATCGGGTCAGCCAGGACGTTTACCATGGGAACTTCAGAAGACGAATGCAGTCAGATATCCGATGCCAACCATTATTGGATTCGATGAAGAAGAACTGAGCCTTGGTACCTCGCCCGAGTCGGAACCACGTCCGGCATCAGTGCCACTTGTCAAAAGATCCCTATTCCGATCTGAAATTCCAACACGTCCAAAAACTGCGGAGCCGGTTATAATTCGAAAGGCTGGCAACCAACCTGGCTCACTATCAGTAGGTTTCATGATTCATGTGGTAATTCATAACTTTATTTTTTCAGCACAAACGAAATATGAAGCTGACTCTGGCAAAGACACCGCGATGTGCGAGACCAACTCAATCGTGGCTCAATCGAATCAAGGTCCCTCGCGACGACTAGTGGAATGGATTATAATCACTTTAATGACCTGTAAATAGTTTATTTTACCAACTAACTTTTTATGATATTTAAAGTCAGCATGTGAATAAAGGAATGGATAAAGTACAAATTACCGTAAAACCTCTAATAGAACGACACCCGGATCGTCCACTTTGAGCCTATATATCTCATTTTCTGTGAAAGATATCAAAAAGTGGCTAACTAGTAAAATGTTGCTGATATCCTGATAAACATTTTACTAGTTAATCACTTTTTGATATCTTTCAAAAGAAGTGAGATATATAGGCTCAAAGTGGACGATCCGGGTGTCGTTCTATTAGAGGTTTTACGGTAATTGAGGTCAAAGTGTACGTCTAGAGTACTGCCAACCCTATGTCCCCGCTTCTTCATTTTATACCGTACTTGTTCATCTGAAAACCCTAAACACCCCTTTTTGCAGAAATTCTGCTCATATTCATCACCCTCTTTCTCGTTTTTTTCCAAAGAATTGTAAATCTGAAAAAAAAGAAACCTCGCCTATTGCTCCCTTCATCCCTTCAAACATATCTATATCCCGCCAGAAATGAATGTGTGCGTGTGAATATAACCCTCCGTCGTTTCTCAATATATTTTTCCTCTAAAGAGTAGAAGCAAGAAGCTTATCACCTGCACACTGAGAAATCCAAGGCAAATCCTTCTTATTGCTTTTTTCTCGCTTTCGGGATCTCGCGCAAAAGAGGAATGAAATTGAAAAGGCAATCTAGGTTATCGTCGTGCGAGAGCCGCCAAGATGAGGTTTCACACTTTGCATTCTCAATTAGGCGTTTCTGGAGTCATGAGTGTTGGTGCTGTAGATCAATTTGTCATTTTTGGCTGCGAGAAACGACAGCGAAAAAGAGATGAGATTTTGATGGAGTGTCGTATAGTGGCGAAAATAGCAGGGTTTCAGGATTGCGATATGGGATGGAACGAGAGATAATAAATGGTTTTGTTTTTTCAATTTTCAGCAAGGGCAGATTTGGTGGGCTGTGCTTGAGAAACCTGAGGCTATGGTAGAGACCAAATAAACACTTTTATAGAAAGTCACCCTACGCTTGCATTTCAAGCTCAATGATGTCAATTTCTACAAGAGATAGCAAAAAATGTCAACTAATAAAATTTTTGTCATAATATCACCACCATATTCATTGACACTTTTTTGATATCTCTCATAGAAGTTGAGATAATTGAGCTCGTAGTTGGGTAAGTTTCTATTAGAAGAAATGCGGTATTTTGATCTTTTCAGTGGATAACAATCAACTTAGGATCCCTGAAAAAGGATTGTAGAGCATTCTCCTGGCTCTCAAAGATTTGGATTTGTTAGTTGACAACTGTTTGGCAAACTTTCGTTTTGAAAAGATAATATACTTGTGAACAAAAAAAGACTGCTCATCTCGCTTTGGTGGATATGTACAAAAAAACTATCAGTTACAAAACTGTAGGTTTTTGTTCAATACACTCTGAAAATTTCAGACAAATCGAGAAATTCTGGACTTCTTTTGTAGGACTCCAAAGTTGACTATTTTCACTTGAAAGACTAAAAATTTGATTGTTTTTTGTATGGTACTGTTTGCAGTTATTTGGGATGCTGAGCTTATTACCACAGCGGCTCACCCAAGTCCTACGTGAGTTTTCAGAATCTGAAAACCCAATCTTTTCACAGAACCCGAACCTTTGCTATTCCGGATTTTCCGGTCTCCCAGACATTGAAAAGTTCAATATCCGTTTGCTTACGAAGTTTTTTACCAGATACCGGATATCCTGTTGAATAATCTTAACAGATATAATGATCTACCAACACCGGGTCTGGAAAATTTCGAGTTCATCGATCCTGAATTCCAACTCGATGAGACCAAAAGTTGTAGAAGATGGAGAAGGAAGGTGGATTTTGGAATCCTAGAGCCTTAGATCCGAATTTTCAGTGACTGGTATTAGTGAGCTTCCGAAGGTTCAGACCCCTCTGAACATCGATCCATCCCTACTATTTTTGACCACGTTTCTTATTCCATCCCAATGACATCATACCTGGTTGACTGATCCCAAAATCCCCAAATCATAGTTCTAATGCGCTCCGGAAAATCTCCCCAAATTTTTATATCTTTCGTATAGTCAGAAGTACTGCGCCCCTCCCAATTTGACGTAGATTTCCTAAGATTGGGGAGTAACCTCAAAAGTGTGAGAGATCAGAAAACTTCTCGTCTGACGTCTACAATAGGTTTCGCCAAAACATCCGGAGAGGGTAAGTAAGTGGGTTCGATACTTTCTGACGTCTTCTGAATTTCGAGTTCAGGAATAGGAGTTTCTTAAATTGAGACTTCAATTTCGAGTTTCTAACCAAAATCCCTTTTCTCTTTTCATTTGATTCACCTGCTTCATCATCATCGTCTTCTTTCTTCTTCTTCTTCCCCTCATCCATTCGTTTTCCTCTCCTTCTTCTTTCCTTTAATCCGACGTTATTCTGTCTCCATTTTCTTATATTGCAACGTCACCAAATCCTTCCTATTCTCCGTTTTGTCGTTCTCAACTTCTTTTCAAGCACAACAAAATTCATACATTTTTTGTCAGCTACCGTAAACACTCTAATAGAAGGTCACTGTCAACTTTGAGCTTATATGTCTCGGTTCCTGTTAAATATATAAAAAAAGTGGTAAACTGACAAAATGTTGATTATATTATCATCAATACTTTCACAGTTCAACCCTTTTTGATATGGAATTGAGATAAATTGGCTCAAAGTTAGAAGTTCCGAGTGGCGTTCTAGAGTCTTTACTATAGCTCAATTTTTTTTTCTGATCAGACGAGTAGAAATTTTCAGAAAATTGTGCAGCAATAATGTCGCTTTCTTAATAGAAGTAAATATTGAAACAGTTAACAAGCTAAAAACAATAAAAGGTGGGACTTCCTAAAGGCGCTTACAAGTCCTGGTCCGCAAAAATCAAGAAATTCCTTGTAAAAGGAATATTAGAGTGGAAATTCTTTTTTTTCTGGTTACGAACTAATCAAAATTTTGAAACAAAGAAAATTACCTCTAAAATAAATTAATATTCAGCTAATTTGAATGATTTTAAGTATAGTTATGGGAACTTGAGCTTTAGGACCAAGAATTTCAAATTCTATCAATTTTTGTTTAATTTGGTATCATTTTGAAGCTAATCAAGTTTGCTACGTAACTGTGTATTTTTCATATTCGTTTTTTTTCAATTTGAAGCAAGTTATGTGCCTTCAACTTTAGACGTTTCCTAAGCACGACGCAGACAGCGATATACTCTCGCTTCTCTGCGTCTCTCCATTGAAGACACATTAGGTAATAATTTCAGCTGTAAATGATTTCTGAACACTATCTATTGTTGAGCACAATTTTCCTCATTTTCCTGTTGCTTCTTGTTCTTCTTCCTCGTTTTCCTATTCCTTCTCCTTATTCCTCTTCTTCTTCTTTTCCATTTTTCTCCAATTTCGAAGAAGGAGAAGACAGAGCACACATGATGTGAAGCAGCATGAGGTGTCCAAAGTTAATTTAGTATTCTCCTTCTTCTTTTCTGTCTTTGAAGAAGAAGAGCTCCAAACGGAGCGCCAAAAAAGGAGAGTCTCTCTTTCCCAAAGTCTCTATCCGTCGTCGGTTTTTTTTGTTCCCCTCCCCCCGGCTCTCCTTGGCTTCATATATTTCCGCCTTTTTTCGCAAATTTTCCTACCTCCAACAGGCTAAAACGGAAATTCCATGTGTCGCATTGGCAAGAGCCACACGCAGCAGCTACACTTTTTTCCATTTGACTCCGTTTTTTTTCTTTTTCGGCCGATGTGTGAATTATCCAGTTTCCGTTTCCGATTGGTCAGGCACGAAGAAGAGGAAGAAGACAAGCGAGAAATTCTCTTGATCATCGGATCAACTTAGAGAGCCTAGTTTTCTATATAATGTCTATATATGTATGGTCCATGTATGGTCAATCACTTAGGTTCCCGGTTATAATAGGCTAAAAAATTATCATGTTGTTTGAAAGGCCAAGAAATCAAAATACGCTATTTCCCAACAACGTTTTTGTTGGAACGGTGAATAATCATGATTCATCTGAATATATTGTGTTACAGATTGTTTCTCTTTTTTTGATATGGACCACAAACAAATTAAAAAATCTTTCTTGAAATTTTTAACATTCAAACGATTAATCGTAAACACTCTGATAGAATACCTAACAACCGTTAACTTCGAGCTCATTAATCTTGGTTTCTGGGAAAGATATCAAAAAGTGGTTGAGTGACAAAATTGTTTTTCGTAAAATTTCTAACATTTTATCAGCCGGCAGATTTTTGATATATTTTACAATAATTGAGATAATTGAGCTCAAAGTGCAAGTATAGGTTGGACCTCCTAACAGAGTGTTTACGGTTTTTCACCAGAATTATCACTTTTTCTGTTTGAAATATCAAAACATAGTAACCAGCAAAATTTGAACGACATTTTCTCTGAAGTTTAAAGTTTTGTCAAATGAGACATTTTTGATATCCCTTTTCGGACCGAAATAAGGTTGAAGCTACCATAGAAGCTACCATAGGAGGCTACCATAGGAGGCCACCCTATACGTGTACTTTAAGCTCATATATCTCAATTTCTATGAAAGATAGCAAACATTTGTCAACTAAAAAATGTTTACCATAATATCAGTAATATTTTATCAGTTTATTACTTTTTGATAACTCTTACAGAAATTGAGATAATTGAGATCGAAAAACAAGTATAGGGTGGCCGCCACCTGGCGTCGAAGGGGGGTATGGTGGTAATCAAGGGTGAGGTTACCATAAAAAATAGTGCGGATCTGTTAGAGGAAATACAGTAGTCCAACAAATCTCACTTCGAATGGTCACTTTGGAAACTTTTCTGTCATGTCATTTGCATTTTCACTTTTACCCCGTCTCACCATTCTCTCTTGTTCTCTCTCTCTCCCGATTCCCATCGAAATGAATTCTTCTGAATTCTGTTTTACAGTCTACGTCTCCATTCTCTCTCCCGTCCATTCGAAACTCATAATACACGCCTTTTGTTACTGTTTATCATACATACGTCTCTCTATTCCTCTTTTTGGTTTTTTCGTTATTTTTCTTCCAATGTCTTTTTGTCTGTCATCTTCTCGTTTTTTTTCTATTTCTCATCGTCTTCTATTTCTTCTTTTTTTTTCAGAGAATAAGAAAAAGAAGATGTGTTGTTGAAATGTTGATTTGTGTGTGTAAGTGTGTTCAATTTCTTTTTCAACGTCTTCACATTTCAAACCTTATTTGTCATTTTCTTCTCCGATTGGATTCTCGAACTGGTCAAAAATGTTTATCACAAAAAATGCTACGAATGCGTTTTTATGACCAAAAAATGCTAGTTTTATGGAGTCGAGAAAATAAATAAAAAACTATTTTTAGGGAACAGAAATATGTCACTTCCGGCAAAAATGTTGGTTATTGAGAGTTGTGTATTTTGGTAGCGGTGGAAACTTGAGTCAAAATTTCAAGGGGTCTCTGAGTTTTTGATCTGGAAGAAATTTTCAAAAAGTTAAAAACATATGAAATGATTCTATTTTCATTTACAAATAATTTTCCAGTATAAAGATTCTGATATCTTTTTCAAAAATCGAGATACCAAATTTCCTCTGTGCCACTTCGACCACCAACTTTGAGCTCAATTATCTCGGTTCCTATGAGAGATATCAAAAATCTGTCAACTAATAAAATTTTTCTCATAAGATCACCAATATTTTATCAGTTGACAAAACTTTGATATCTCTCATAAGAAGCGAGATAATTGAGCTCAAAGTGCACGGACCTTTTTGAGTGATTTTATCCATTTTGAATACAAAATCTCAGGAAAAATGTCAGTGCCTTACTAGAACTTTCCAGAAAAACCAGTTTAGTTCTTATTGATGCCATAAATTTCAGAGTAGATTTCCAGAAACCTCCAGAACATTTTCAACACCTCAATGTCAACTCACCGTGTTTGCTTTGTTAGAAGCTCACCTTATGATGACACTTTGAGCTCAATTATCTCGGTTTCTTCAAAAGATATCAAGCAGCATTCAACTAATAAACTGTTTATCATAAAATGAGAAATAATCAGTTGACAAGTTTTTGATATCTTTCACAGGATTCAAGATAACTGAGCTCAAAGTGAACTTAACCGGAGGGCTTCTTTCAGAGCAAATATGGTAAAATTTCAAAAATCCAAACTCCTGTAGTACGGTACTTCCTAATAACTCAACTCTTTCTAACCCCTGACTCATTCCCAAAGCGGCTTAGTAGTTTCTAAAAGTTGTATATGAAAACATAGAACATTCAGAGACACATATATATTCATAATAATATTTTGTTTTGATATCCTTTTGCCTGCCAACTATGTCTCCTATTTTTTCCCGAAGCATAATCGGATTAGTGTCTTTCTTCTCCATCTTCTTCTTCTTCTTTCTCCCTTCCAAAAATGCCCCCAACGCGTGTATCACATTATCATTCGGCGTTGCGTGCCAGCGTTGCGGTCGATTGGCGTCGTCGACACCACCACCTGCAATCGACTTTTAATTTTTCCTTGTCCCCGGAGAAAAAGAGCCACGGCTTCTTCTTTTTCTCTTAAGAAATCCTTCTATATGCACACCTTCTCCATCCCTCTTATCACCTATGTCCCCTTCTCGTTCTGGAGTCATATCCGGAGAGCTTGAGAGGGGGATGGCGGAGCAACACACACACCCAGAGCCAAACGACTTTTTTGTCCGAGTCGTCGGCTCCGCCCGTCCTCCCCTAGGTGTCTCACACTCTTCGAAATCCATACTCTATCAGTCAGAGAGACCTCTTTTCACATTTAATTATTTTCTAAAGGGTATAGCCATCTATGGAAAGCGAGAGGAGCGACGACGGGGAAAAAAGAGGGATAGATGAGTCTTCTGAATGGAGAGAGCTCAAAGCCTCTTCCCCTATTCTCTTGGGTTGAGTGACGACGACGTCTTCTTGCCTCTTCTCGTTTCCTTCTTCTTCTTCTTCTTTTCCTTCCTTTCCTGATGTTGATGATGATGATGCACTTTGTGATTTAGACGACTCACACCGGTTGACCTACATAGAAAGCCTTCAATTAGAAATGAGCAGCATTGCGTGCGGCTCATTCTAAATGCTGGCCTTGTTTTGATGCATTCTGTTGACACCGAGTGTGTTATAGGTCGCATTTTTGCAAAATGTTCAATTAGGCTCTTAATAATAGGGCTCTCACGTGAAAACCCGAAATTAGGTTCTGGTAAACATTCGTGAGAAAACCAACAAGATCAGCTAGCTGATCTTGAGCTCTCGAAAAAACTAACAATTTCAAATTTCGAGTAGAGACACCCAATTGAGCAAACATCATAAAGACTAATGGGTCTCTTCCTCTTTTCAAAAATTGGGGTCACTCTCATTCATTCAGAAAACGTCTTCTGGGAATCATCGTCTTTTCAAAAGGGGATCTTTTCTAGGAAATGCTTATAATATTGCTTTCAGAAGTGCACTCTATGTTCAGAGTTCAACAGAGCGCGTTTGCTTTGAGTTTGGTAGATCATGCTCCCTTCTAAAATACCGTAGGAACTTTAATATTGGTTATCTTACTTCCTTCAAAAGATCAATATTTTGAGAACTAAAAATGTTATTGATAATATGATAAACATTTTGTCTGCTAACAAGTTTTCGATATCTTTTATAAAAACCGAGATAATTAAGCTCGAAAGTGAACTTACGTTCACCAACAAGTTCGATAGAGCGCATTTACTAGAAGCAGGATTTCGCAAAAAAGTTTGATAGATCGCATTTACAAATATCAGTATTTCACCAACCAGTTCGATGAAGCGTGTTTCTAAAAATCCCATCCCCTAGACTTTTGAAAATAGAGCACACTTTCCTATATCAGTTGATCTATTTTTATCAGTCTTCTTCTATTCTTGTTTCAAAACCACCACACGTGGCACACAACAATCACCTTTGTCATTTCTATCTGTCTTCTGCTACGTCATGTTTTCTTTTTTCCAGTCTGTGACCCACTATTAGCTTCTTCTTCTTCTTCCTCTGCCATTTCTTCCTCACTGATGGTTGCACTCCTCTCCTCCATCTCTCCCCTTTTTCGATCAAATCCTTGATATTTTTATCAGCCAACACCACCAGGCCAACAACTCATTCACTCTCACATCATACACACTTTCTCACTCTCCTCTCTCTGTGCTCGTATATATTCATTTGACTCTCGGTGTGTGTTGTTGTCCTCTCTCTCTCTCTCTCTCTCTCTCTCTCTCTCTCTCTCTCTCTCTCTCTCTCCTCGTGTATCAGAGAAGAAGAGAGAATTTCTTCTTCTTCTTCTTCTTCTTCTTTCTCTCTTTTTGCTCCAGAGAGAGAGAGAGAGCTCGAATCGATGCAGACCACTCTGCGCTCTCCACCCGACTCCCTTATCTCTCGCAAGTTTTCTTCTCCCACCTAATCCCTCTCGCCGGAGCATGCTATATCACTTCTTCACGGGCTCTCGGGTCCGCCAAAAGACACCGATAGGCAGCGGCAGCAGCAGAGCAGTAGTAAGGAGAGCAACAAGTGGAAAAGAAGAAGAAAGAGCCCAGCAGAGTAGCCTAGAAGAAGAAGAAGAAGAAGAAGCAGCTTCTTTTTGGTGTCGTCGATCGAGCAGAAAGACGAAAGCTCCATCTCCATCTCTCTCTCTCACTCTTCTCCGTTTCCCCTCCCGACCAGGCTTAGCTTCTCAGAGCGAGAGCTGATCCCACCCACAACGTCCTCTTTCTCGTCCCCTCCTGGTCTTCTTCTTCTTCTACTTCTTCTCCTTGTTCGCGCTCTTTCTGAATGAAAAATCCACGTCATCTTTCGTTTCCTGAGATGATATTGTTTATTGCTTTTGCCCTGTTTTGATCTTCGATTAATTTTTTAAGGAAATGCCGTCCAGATTCAGAAATTTTTAGCCTATAATTAGAAATAGGCATTTAGGGTGTATTCGATTTTGGAATCTAGGGTGATATCAGCAAGAAATTTATGTACAGGGTAGAATTAAAGGGGGTTTCCTGGATTGTGTGAAAATTATTACCATGTGGAAATTCATTTTTTAAAGGCAAAGTTAAAAATATGACATAGTCCAATATATTTTTGAAAATCTGCACTCAAAAGGAAAAACTATATAGCTTTAAAAAATATTTTGATTTGTGCTAAATTCACATGATGCTACATTTTTGGCCACTTTTACCAGAGGTCAAATCACTTTTGAAAACATACCCTATTTCCCTTGATAGAAGCCCACCGTATTCGAGCTCGAGTATCTTGGTTCTTGTTAGAGGTATCAAAAATCTATCAACTGATTAAATATCAGTGATATTATGATAAACATTTTGTCAATTTACTACTTTTTAATATCTTCTACAGGAACCGAGATAAATATGCTCAAAGTTGGTTACGGTGTACTCTGCTTTTTGGAACCAGCGAGAAAGTTTCGTATATATTTTGATCTACTTTAATATTTTGATCTACTTTAAATTTCCGTTTTTCCTATTTTCGGAAAAGATGTTTCAAAAAGTTGAATTAATAAAACATTTTATATAATTCATCAGTTCTCTCTCGCGTATTTTATAGAGAAAAATGAAAATCGATGCCTGATCGATTCCTAAAGCATCATAATTAGCTAATAATTTTCATTTTTGGATACAAACCTAAATTTCCATATAAGGAATTATCTTTTGCATTTTATTGAATTCGCTTATCCCTGCGAATTCATACTTTTGAGCATTTTATGTTCATGCTCTTTGATCCTCAAAACCTTCTCGACACTATTGCATCTTTCTCTCTTCGCCTTGACCACAAGCCTCTCCCCTCAGAGTCTCATCCGTATGAATACGCAAAGATCCTCGATAGTTTTACAACTTCTCATTGATTCCAAATTCAAAAAAATGCATGGAATGAAAAAAAAATCGTTTTTCAAAGATTGGTTCTCTATATCTCTTTGTTTCCGTTTTCTCCCCTATACATATGTTTACCCACAAAATTTTCCATTTCTCTGCTCTTTCTCTATCTCTCTCCCTCTCTCGTTTTCTCGTGGATGCACCAAACACACAACACTCTTTCTGTCTCTCTCTCTCTCTCTCTGTCCCTGCTGGCCAGACCCGGGAGGAAAAAACTTTTTTATCGATAACACACACTACACCGCCCATCATTACTTTTGATCTTTTTTCCTGTGTCCCCCTTTTTCCAGCCAAACTCTCATGTGACATATTGAAATTGAGAGAGAGGGACAGGGAGCAAATTTAATCAATAATCATAATTGATGTAGTGGAGAAAAGCATGTGTCATGAGGTTTCGAATAATATGTTTTTCGAGGATCTATTAGTGCTTGTTGAGGATTGTTGCTGATTTTTGTCTCTTGAAAAGTTTTTTTTGAAAATTTTAGAAGCCATATTTCAAGGTCTGAATTTTCAATTTCTAAAAATGCTCGTGTTTTCTTTAGCTTATTTTCTTTTTTTTTTCATACTTTGAAATTTTCAACAGATGAAAAATGTTGAGCATTGTTGAAAGAAAACGCCTGAAAGGCAATTATCATTTATGCTCTGTTAGAACACCACCTTATGCACTTTGAGCTCAATTATCTCGATTTCTGTGCGTGATATCAAACATCTGTAAACTAACAAAAGTTGGTGATATTACGATGAATATTTTATCAGTAACCATATGTTTGATATATTTTATAGGAAATGAGATAATTGAGTTCAAAGTAAAAGTAAACGGATATGTTCTATCCGAGCATTTAGAAAGTTTCTTTGAGCTCAGTTATCTCAATTTGTGTTGAAGATAACAAAACTTTGTAAACTAACAAAAAGTTGGTGATATTGCTATAAACGTTTTTACAGTTGACAACTTTTTGATATATTTTATAGGAATTTCAAAATTATCTTTTTTTAAAGACGCTTTTGTTGTTTTCTGTCCCACTTCATCATCTTCTCCTCCCGTTCTTCTTGCACCGACTATAAAAAATCTGAATTTGATTTTTGTCACTCTCTTCACACCAATTCTTTTCTCTCCTTCTTCATCTCCTCTCCATTTTTCTTTTTTTTTCCACCCCCAAATACGAAGGGACCCCGCCCATTGTTGTCGCCTTCTGGCACCACCCCAACAACCACACAAACTGGTTCTTCCTCTTTCCTTTTTTCCAACTGCTTCATGATGTGTGTATGGATTCGTTTGAAAATCCATGTTTTAGTATCTCAAAATCCCAATAATTCCCAATTTTTTGCAGACCGCGAGAAGATCTTCGGTGTGCGAAGTTGCTGGTACAGTAGCCGCCCGCTGGTTCTCGTGGAGTGAGGGTTTCTGTGTTTCGGCCTTTTCCCCACCACCATCACTCCAAATTAAGCCCCCGGATTTCTCTACGGGTTCAATTCCATTGTTTTATTTAGACATAACGGTGAGCACTTTTTTTTTGGAAAATCCTCCAGAGAAGCTGGAAAATGCAGCTGAAATTTTCTAAAATTAAAATTGCAGGTGAAATTGATTAGGCTCCACACATACGACGACGACGAAGCTTCGAGAAAAAAAGTTGTTAGAGAAGAAAGAGTTGGTTTGGAGCAACGAAAACAGGAAACCCAGGGCACAAACAGACAGTGATGGCCTCGACATCGGCTGGACAGAATGCGACTGCTAAACGTAAGAGTTTTCTGGAAATTCTCCTACCGTAGTCTACCTTTAAACATCCGCATCCTTGTTTTTCATCGTTTTCCCTCATTCAAACAAAAAAAAACAACAAAAATGGTCCGGGGCGAATAGACAGAGAGAGAGAGAGAGAGAAAAATCGAATTTATAGTGTTTTTTGTTGTGTGCGTCAACATCTTCTCTCTCTCTCTCTCTCTCTCTCTCTCTCTCTCTCTCTCTCTCTCTCTCTCTTTTTTTTTTGAAGAAGTTGTCTCTTTTGCCTTCAGAATCTGTCTCATCTGGAATGCATGAAAAGAGAGAAAAGAGAAAAAAGGATTTTCATCATCATCATCATCTATTTCTTTCTTTCAGCCGACACCACAGTCGCCACAAACAACAATCGGGAACGCGAGCGTGACTTGAAGCAGTTCACCGAGAGATTTGTCAAGAGTGAGTTGGTTGGGAATCTTGGAGATAAGACTACTGGGATTAAAGGGGCTCAGGTTCTAGAATTTTGGGATTCCAGGAGTCCAAGATAGTCTCAAGATTAAGGAAATAACGTATGCCCGAAGCATTCGGATTTTTTCGTTGAGCAAAACAGATCGGAAAGGTTCTGAAAGGTTCTGAATTTTGAGTTCTGAAATGTCGTTGTTCGGAAACGTCGGGTTCTTGAATGTCCAGAAGTCAATAGCTCATTTCGAAATTTCGATTCAAATATAGATAGATTTTTTTCTGATGAACATGAAAGCTTTTAAACTTAATGAACAGAAACTAGGCTTCGTGATTTCCATGTTTTTCAAATTCCACCTACCGTAAACACTCTTATAGAACGCCGCTCAAATCATCAATTTTGAGCTCAATTATCTCTTTATCTGTAAAAGATTTTGATATCTGACTACTTTTTTATACCTCTTACAGGAACAGAGATATATAGGCTCAAAGTTGGCGGCTTGGGGTGATCTTCTTTTAGAGAGTTTACGATATTTCACACGAACTTCACAACCTTCTAGATCAAATTCTTTTGCTATGGCTTCTAGCAGATCTATCATCGAGTCTTTCCCCTTTTTCATTTTCCCCTCTGCCCTTTTTTATTCCGGCAATGCTCCATTGGAGCCTCAACGTCCTCCTCGTCCGATATCCACCCTCACATCCACCCTCACATTCATCGAAAACGAAAAAAAAGAGAAAAAAGAAGCCAGAAATTATACGAGCATTTTTTGCGCTCTTTTCACTAGCCACACTCTCCAATTATCCCATACTATTTCGCCACTGATTCAGCGAGAGAGAGAGAGAGAGAGAGAGAGAGAGAGAGAGAGAGAGAGAGAGAGAGAGCCGGATTCTCGGCGTCTCTTCTCTCTTACACCTCTTGGATTCTGACGACGTCGTCGTCATTGGCGTTGTTGTGTTGGAAAAAGAAGAAGAAAAAGGGAAAGAAGTGAGGGAGGAAGGCAAAAAAGCTATGTGTGTGTGCGTTGAAATCGAAAATTAATCCTCTCTTTCTCTCTTTTCACTGCTCCGCCCGGCCGTTGAAACGCTTGAGAGGGTTCCCATAGTAATTTGAAGAAGACGGGGCGTCAAATGAAAAAAGAGCTCTTTTTAAGGAAAAAAAGGATGGGTGGTTTGAAAAGGGATCGGAATTTCCGATTCGGAAATGAATAACTTCAAATTTCAGCCGTCCAATTTCCGGTATCCGAGCGGCTCACCGTTGACCAGGTTTATGATCGGCGGACCGGGAAACCAAGGCATGAAGTGCTTCGTGATCACTTCATTAAGGTGAGCAAAACTATATAGATTTAAAGCAAGGCTGTGAAAATCACCACCGCGGCCGGCGTGGCCGGCCTTTGGAGGTTGCCGTGGACTAATCGACCCAGAAACCACTAGGGTATCCTACCTAACACAAAAATACTCTATTCCAGTTGTGGCGGCGGGTCGAGGCACAGCCTTGAGTCAAGCCAAGAATTCATTTTGTATTCCTAATTTTATTCCAAAAACTTCCGCACACAGAGAACAAAGACAATAAAATTAAAACACACCACACCACACCATGAAATTCAAAAAATGTTGACACATGAAAAATGCACAAAGGCCCTTGTACTTTATCCTTTGTTTTCAAAAATTCTGAATTTCTGAATTCCAAATTTTCCCGAATAAATGTATAAAAAGTTTTTTTTTGCAGGAGGGACGGATAGAAGAGGAAGCGGCGATTCGCGTGATTCAGGAGTGCACGAGTCTGTTCCGCAATGAGAAAACGATGCTGGAAATCGAGGCGCCTGTCACTGTTTGTGGAGACATTCACGGTCAATTTTACGATCTCATGAAGCTATTCGAAGTGGGAGGATCTCCAGCGACGACCAAATATCTGTTCCTGGGAGATTACGTCGATCGAGGATACTTTTCCATCGAGTGCGTCCTCTATTTGTGGGCACTCAAAATCTGCTATCCAAACACGCTGTTCTTGCTTCGAGGAAACCACGAATGCCGTCATTTGACCGAGTATTTCACTTTCAAACAAGAATGCAAAATCAAGTATTCCGAACGGGTCTACGATGTCTGCATGGAGTCGTTCGATGCGCTTCCGTTGGCGGCGTTGATGAATCAACAGTTCCTGTGTGTTCACGGTGGACTCTCACCCGAAATTCATACTCTTGAGGATATCAGGAGGGTTCGTTTCTCACTTAAAACTTTGAAAGATCATCGAAATATTTTCTATGTTTTCAGATAGATAGATTCAAGGAGCCACCGGCATTCGGTCCGATGTGCGATCTTCTCTGGTCGGATCCTCTTGAGGATTTCGGAAACGAGCGGAATTCCGAACAATTTAGTCACAATTCGGTTAGAGGATGCTCCTATTTCTACAGCTACGCCGCGTGCTGTGACTTCCTCCAACATAACAATCTGCTCTCGATCATTCGTGCTCACGAGGCTCAAGATGCTGGGTAGGAGCAAAGCAGAAAATATGAAAAAGGCATAAAGTATAATCCATTGCAGATACCGCATGTATCGCAAGTCTCAAGCCACCGGCTTCCCGTCGCTTATCACAATCTTCAGTGCGCCAAACTATTTGGATGTGTACAACAACAAAGGTACAAAGAGGAGATTAGATTAGAAAACACAAATGCTAAATTTTTTTTCAGCTGCGATTCTGAAATACGAGAACAATGTGATGAACATCCGTCAGTTCAACTGTAGTCCACATCCATACTGGCTTCCGAACTTCATGGACGTCTTCACATGGTCATTACCATTCGTTGGAGAGAAGGGTTAGCGAAATTTAAAAATTAGTTTTCTCTCTTGGATCCGACCGTTATTTATCTAGAAGATACTAGTGAAAATCTTAAAATAATTTTTTTGGAGTGATATCTCTTTCAGAATCCGAGAATGTTAAAACAAACTACCTGAATGATCTTATTTCACTTTGACCTCAATTATCTCAGTTCCCATAGAAAATATTAAAAATCTGAAAACTTCGAAAGTTTTAGTGATATTCTGATAAACAATTTATCAGTTGACAGTTTTTTGATATCGCTCATAGGAGCCGAGATAATTGAACTCAAAGTTCAATCATACAGGGTGGCGCTTAATTATCTGTACTAAAGCTTGTACTAGCAAAAACTTGAGTAAAGCATTGCACTAGATTCAAATTTGGAGTGCAAAAATTTCCTTCCTCTCAAAAAAAGTTCCTTCCTCTCAAAAATTCACAAGAAACATTACGTTCATCTTTAAACAATCATAACAATACCCAGACTTGAGGAATCGTTTTGAAAATTTCCGTAGCTTAGAATCAAACGTAAAAATATAATTTTACCAATTTTAGTGCTTCCAAGATATTTATGCTTAAAGATATGCCAGCTTTTATCAGTCCGGGTAATTGTGAGCCAACCTGTAAGCATGCATTTAGTTGGAGAATTAACGGTTTTCAAGGGGTGTCGTATGTATCAGCATATAATTGTTCAAATTTTCAGTCACCGAAATGCTGGTCCACATCCTCAACATTTGTTCTGACGACGAGCTGATGGCAGAGTGCGACGACACTTTCGAAGGTACGTCTTCTCTCTTATTTTCCAGGTTTCAAACTCTTCGGATCCAAACATTGATTCATTTAGATGTTCCTTTAGCTACGTGTAGAAAATCCCCCAACATGATAATTTATCTAACTAGTCCAAAAAAACAGTAGAAACAAAAACACCGTTCGTAATTTTATATATCTGTTAAATTTTGTAAACTTATGATACTTTCCAATTGATTTTTGTCTTGTGCTCGGCTCCTAGGGAGACGCCCATCACTATCCCCAATCTCTCTCAATTCAGTGAGAATACATGTGTTTTTCTTCTTGCTCGCATTCTTTTAGGATCTGTTTAGAAGAGTACTGTAGCTGAAGAAAATGGAGAGAGAGAAAAAAAGAACAGTACACCCTACAGTATGCGAGTATTCGGTGTTGTGTGTTATTTTTTCAGAGCTCTCTCTCTCCTTCTCTATTTCTCTCTTCTCTCTTTTCTCTTCTTCTATTTTTTTCCTATTTTTCTTCTTCTTTTCCTCTTTCTCTCCCTATTTTTGGTACCCCTTTTTTGATGATGATGATGATGATGATGATGGTCCATTGTCTTGAATGTTGTGTCTCTATTTATCGATCGTTCTGATTGAGAGTCCGCCCCCTGACGTTTGATTATTATCCCAAATGTTGAGAAAGAGAAAAGAGTTTGAAAAATCATGGAAAAAAATAAAGAAAAATAAGAAAGATGGCATGAATATGTGTGTGTGCGGGTGTGTGCAATTCTGACATGAGACTGATCGAATTTTGATATAAGGAATGGAGAAGATTTTTGAGTGGTTTTCTGATAATTTTTCGTTTTCAAGCAGCTTAAAACTTAGAGATGCAAACATTTTTGAATAGGATACCTGAACTCTGGATGTGTAGGTCTTTGTGAACCTCCCGAATTGGAGATTAAGGTTTCCATTGGGTCGGAAAATTTAGCTGGCCGACCGAGCGACAACCGGATTGGTGAATTTCCGCGTTAACGGGCCAGAGAGTGTTTGCGTACGAAGTATTTCATTTTACGACACAATATTCAAAAAATTCATAGTGTGTCGCAAAATAAAAGGCTTCNTACGCAAACACTCTCTGGAACTTGACGTTCAAATGCCCGAATTCGGTTGGCGCGCCGAGCGATCGGTCAGCTCTGTCGGTTGTCGGTCGGTCAGCTAACTTTTCCGACAGAATGGAAGCCTTATTAGAGAGGGAATTTTTTGATACGGTATCTAAATTCAGGATCTGTTTTTTTTTGTAAATATTATAGAGTCTAAGAATCAAAATTTCCAGGTTTTTCCCTCCATTCCAAAAACGCCGTAAGAATAGAAAAACGCATGTATTTGAGCCGGTATTGAGTGCAAGAATCTGAGCGCCCAACTAGTCTCCGAAAAGTTTCCCCTACAATTTTGTCTTCTCCTTGTCTTCGTAAAACTCCTTTCGTTCCCTTCCATTGAATGGAGTCCATTCCCAAGTGTTTGCAGGCCAAAAAAGCACGTTTTGAGAGGAAAGAATTCTAGTGTTTTAAAAAATCCAGCAGTGTGTCTCCTAAACCAGTTTGAATCTCGAGCCGTCCGTCTATTTTTTCTTGATGATCAGTATTATATCTTAACAGCACGCGCCTTTAGAAGTTGACAACGATACAAAGTGTTTTTTTCTTAAATTCCAAAGTTTTCAAAAATTAAAATCTAATCCAATTAAAATTTAAGGAGCCGATGGTAAGTGTATGGATGTTCATCCTATTCGAAAAAAGTCTGGTGACGTATGTTTTATATGGCAATCCAATATCTTAGTTTATATATTTTTCAAACAACCGTTTTTTGTACACCCTGTCCCTTTAAATAGTACGGGCAAGCGCTTTTTCTACACCCCTACACCACCAAAACCATTTAGTTTTGCTTTTATCGAGAGAAAAGTTTGAGAAAAAAAACTATTGTCGAAAACAAGAAAATCTCTATGTGGCTGCTGTTCTATTTTGAGTTTTTGGTTTGATGCTTTAATTATAGACGGTTTTGTATATCTAATATATCTAACCTGCTTTCTTTTATTTATTTTTTTTTATTTTTCTCATGATTTTTTGGCTGGAATTCTTTTTAACGCTTTTTGTGTTCTGCATGCACTCTATGTATCCCCCTTCTTCTTCTGGAAAGAGAGTTTCTTTGGTTCTTAAAATTAGACATTAAATTAGAACTTTAAGAATTTTAGGATTTTGATAAAGAACAAGTTAAGATAAGGAGAAAAATGAGTGTGGAATTCTTGATAATCTAGAAAAGTCGTTTTTCAAATTTCAAACAGACTAAGTAACTTTTATTTTAAAATTACATGGTAACATTTTTATCAAAACTGTAAAACTCAGAAAATTAGGATTTCCGGACATCTCTTGAAAAACCAAGTTACCGTTACATCTCTTATAGATGCCATCCTATACTGAACTTTGGAGCTCAATTATCTCGATTCCTGTGGAAGATACTGAAAATTTACAACTTATAAATTAGTTATCATAGTATTTCTAATATTTTATCAGTTGACAGATTTTTGATATCTCTGAAGGGCACCGAGATAATTGAGCTCGAGATGCACGTAAAGGGCGGGCCTTTAATATAGCAAGTACGGTAATTGATATTGGGGAATACAAACCGGAAATTTTCACAAAAAGTCCTCTTTCCAACCCCTATTTTTCCCCTTATTTCTATCTCTAATTTCGGTAAAAGTTAGTGTTCTAAAAATCCCAAAAATACCTATACTAGCAATCTCTCTTACACCCCCTTTACACCTACTGTAGTAGTTATCGCCTTATAATTAATTATTGAATTGGCTTTTAAGCACATCACCACCCTGTTTTTTCTTTTTTTTCGGGCGGTGCCTACTCTTTACTCTTTATTTTTATTTTTTGATTGGTGATAATGTGGTTGCCAGTGGAACATTTTTCCCCCCTAATTCAGTTATAGTGACGGTTTTGAAGTTTATTTTGATTTTTCCAGGTGGCGTTCCATCGGCTAGAAAGGAGGTCATCCGTCACAAGATTCGTGCAATTGGAAAGATGGCTAGAGCTTTCTCAGTTCTCAGGTAATTGAAAGTTTATAGAGATTCTAGAGGCTTCCATTCGGTCCGCCGTCGGCCCAGTGACGGTCAGCTGACGGTCCGCTAACGGACGGCTCGGTTCGCGGTCCGTCGGCCGACTAAGTCCTGACCGAAATGGAAGACTTATTCTAGAGAAAGAAAGAAAGAGTTGTACTCAAATGGTTGGAAAATGTTCCAGATTGAAAAATAAACTAGAAGCTAAACTGTAAGTGGTAAACCTAATAAGTTCAAAAACTGATTGTATTTTTCAGCTGGGGTTCTCCATCCATTGGGGTATAACTCTTACCAAAACTTGCGAAAAAATCTCAGCATGTTTCTTTATTTTTTTTATTTTGGTGATGATGATTTTTAACGAAACGCTCTAATTCTCTATGTCTCTCATCCATCTCGTGTCTCTTATTTCAGAGAGGAATCCGAGAGTGTGCTCGCATTGAAAGGACTCACACCGACTGGTGCACTTCCGGCTGGAACACTTCAAGGTGGATCACGTGGAATCAGAGAAGGTTTGTTCAAGAATCTCAATGATGCCATCATGTCCTTTTGCCAATGCCGCCTACTCGTCGTCTGTCGAAAAAAATGTGTGGATTTTCTCTAACTCTATACTTATACTTTTGAGACACTGACCAAGAAAGTTTTTGGAAAGAACGAAAAAAAAATCAAGCATTTCTAGAAGAAATAGAGAGAAATTCCACTCATTTTGACAGACATGACAGCGAGTCGGTGGTTCAATTGAAAGGATTGATACCCGGTGGAAAATTACCACAAGGGGCGTTGGCAGAAGGACGATTGGATGCATACAGATTGGAACAGTCAGGTCTGAAATTTCAGATGTCTTATGAAAAGGCAGCTGGTTCAAATTTTGAATTGAGAAATTTGGAAATTTAGGGAGAATTAGAGGTTTGAAAACTAGAAATAGCTGGCTCGCGAAAGTTAGAATCGAAAGCTGGAAATTTTGAAGGTTAGGACCCATATTTTGTTAAAGACCGGAGTTTTTTGTAATTTTGTATTTTTGAGAATACAGATTTTAGATTCGAATTGGAAACTGTATGGAATTTAGAATAATTTCAACATCTTTAAATTCTGAAAAAGTAGTTTTAAAAGCTGAATGCGACACTTTGGCAAATTGATCCGACTTACCGTATTTGCTCTAATAGAAGCCCACCGAAAGCGTCAAGTCTGGACTGACTTATCTCGATTCTTGGAAAAGATATCAACATTTTTTAAACTGATAAATTATTCATCATAATATCACCAAGATTTTACCAGTTGACAGATTTTTGATATCTCTCATAGGAACCGAGATAATTGAGCTCAAAGTTAAAAGTTATGGGTGGCGTTATAGTGTTTACGGTATATTTGTGATCTCCGTTTTTTGAGAATATAGATTTCAGAAAAAATTGAAACTTGGAATTCAGAAAAGCTAGAAAAGAAGATTAATATTTTAAATGCAAGACTCTGTCACTTTGATCCAACTTACCGTAAAACCTGTATTAGAAGGGCCCTGATACTACCAAGTTTGAGCTGATTTTTCTCCGTTCCTATGGGAGATATCAAAAATCTGTAAAGTGATAAAACATTTCTGGTGTTATGATAACAAATTCATTAGTTGACAGCTTTTTTATACCTTTGACAGGAACCGAGAAAAAGTGACTCAAAGTTGAAAGTTAAGGAACCCTTCTATTCCAGGTTTTACGGTATCTATTAAGACCAGTGTGTAAGGCTATGAAGCTTTTTACGGTTCAAAAAACCGAAATCCAATGTTTTCAAAAAGAACTTCATTTTTCAGTGGCCGCCGTCTCCGGAGTCGATCAAGGACACACTATCCAAACATTCGAAGAAGCTCGCCGTCTCGATAAAATCAACGAAAGAATGCCACCAACAATGGCGACACCGCCAGCTCAATCACCATCTCAATCGCCAATTCCATCACGGCAAACAACTCCACAACCACCTCAAAATGGACCATCGAATAGTTCATAGTGTGATCCTATACATTGTCAGTCATTTCGTCACATCACACCAGCCGACATATCAAAAAAGAGAGTTCACCGGCAAATGAGGCGATCTGACACTAAACTACTACTACTCCTAAAACAACAGCTTGTTGCGTATATGTATACATATAATTTTATATTACTATTTCTTTTGTAGTTCGGTGAAAATGTGTGCTCTACAATTCTCAGTAGAGCACATGTGCACTATTTCTTTCTTGAGCTAGATGCAAATTCCCCCCCCCCCCACTAATTTTTCCCCAATCACATAGTTTTCACCCTTAGTCCATATTCCCCCGGTCCTCCCCTCCTTGCTCTATTTTGAACCAGTCCAGTGGAGCACACTTTCTTCCAGAATCTTTCTTTTTTTCTCTGTCTCTCTCAAAAAACACACCGCCCCATCCTATAAATTATCGATTTGTGATTGGATCCGTTCTCAGTCTCGTTGCGTGTTTTTAGTCGCCCCACCCCCCTATATTTTTGTGTGCCCTTTTTCCCCTGTCCCTTTAAAAGTTCTATATAGTAACCCCCAGATTTTCCACTTGAGACCCTCCCGTTTACAAAAATCTTTCTTTCTCCCCCAAACTTTTTGCCATTTTCGTTCGTTTCCTTCTCTCTCCCATTTTCTCATTTTCTCTACGAAATATCCTTTTTTGAATTTCCAGATTCATCATCTCGTTTTCCCGTTTGACCTTTTTATATATTAACACCTGTTCAATCTTTCTTGATCCCTTTTTTATACATTAATATAAATATGTTTTTCGTGTCTATAAGATTTAATTTAAGCTATGTTTTCCCCCTTATGTTTTTTTGTTCTCTTCCCTTCCCCTTACAAGTCCCCCCAGATTTTTTGGTCCTCCTCTTCAACTCCCCCACCCACTTATTTTTTGGTTTCCGCTGAAAATTTCTATACACTCGTCTTATAATTTTATAATTATATATCTTTTCCTTTCACCACAACTTTCCCCCTGTCTTCCTCTCTCTCTCCCCCTCGCTCCCCACCCCATCTCTCTTTTTTCGTTCGGAAAATATTCTTTTTGGAGATTTATATGGAAAATGAAGCTCTGAAAAAATAATTTTTATTTGATTTCAAACAAGACGAAATGGAAATTCAAAAGTTAGACCAACATTCAACGATGATTTAAAACAGAATAAGAAGTTATAAATTATTGTAACACCTGTAATAGAAGGGCTTCTTAACTTTCAACTTTGATCTAATTTTTTTGGTTCCTATGAGAGATATGAGAAATTTTTTGTCAGTTGACACATTTTTGAAATTTTTCGTAGGAACTGAGATAATTGAGCTCAAACTTGACAGTGTGGAAAAAAATTACAAAACTTCGTATCAAGAAATCAAATACAATAGATATAAAAATACAGTTTAACAAATACAGTAAAAACTCTATTAGAAAGTCATGGCACTATATTGCCCGGTGGGTGTCTAGGGTGGCACTGTATTAGGGGGTGGCACTATATTAGAGGCTGGCATTCAATTAAGGGAGGCTATCTAATAGAGTTTTTACGATAACAGCGAAAAAGGAATAATCAAAAATACGTAAGATCTTAATTAGTACCTTCTGGCCATACGACTACTGTAAGTGCACGAATTTGTTTTCCGTCATCATTGTCATGCATTATTGGTCCAATTACAACCGATGCAACTTTCTCATCCTCTCGTTTTATATCCAGCCCTCCGAAAAAAGCGCACGGCGTTGAAACGCTGTAATTATAGAAATTAACATTTCAGCAACAATTTCAAAAACCCACAACACAAAAGTTCGAATCAATGACTCTTCTCTTTCCACTACATTCAGACCATCGGTTAGCTCAATCATCATATCTTCACTTTCAATAATATTAGCAGTGATGTATTCCATTCTTTGATTGCTTCCATTTTTCCACGACTTCAAAAACGTGTTCCATTCTGTCGGTGTGAATTCAGATGTATCAAGTTGAATGTGTTTGCAGTCCGAATTCGAAATGTCTTTCAGGGACATCCAGTTGTTTGATGGATGATCAGTAACACTCAAAAAGTCGCATTTGAATTTCGGATGAAGAGGTCGCATTCCATCAGGTAAAGTGTCGACGTAGATGACGAAGGACTCGACGACGTTCATATTTTTCAGAAAGTAGTCAAGATCTTCAACGTCTCTCTCTGCTTCATACTTGATTATCAGTTCATTGATGGATTGTTGTCTCTCGTTCAACCATCCTAAAATCTGAGGCATCATTCCTATACAATGACCACAGTCTATGATCAACGAATCTATGTCGCATTTCAGGAACCGTGTCATCCCATCGATAGATACGGTCAGGCTAGCCAAACTGTCATTGCTAAAACTAAACATTGCCGATTCCAGAATATCTTTCAGATCTAGACGGTCACAGTCTAGATATGGGATGAAAAAGGATTCTGATGTGTCACCCTTGGATGTTTCCAGCATTGCCATCATTTGTATACTGATTTTAATTTTGAACATGTTTCGGGGCAAATCTCTAATCAAATTATTATTGAAATGTCGAGAGGTGTTTGATAGTGCGGATCTGAATACAAACGGTAAAGTGGAGAAACTACAGTAAACACTTACAGAACGCTGGCATTGCAGTTTGCCAAGATTTCTCTGAAAACCACGTACGGAAGTTTTGATACAGAAACCATGGTACAGAATATACAGAATCAATAGAAGAAAACGATTTGAAAGTAGATTGGGCAGCATACGCAACGCTACCGTGACGCGACCGCCGCGCACAGGAGCTAGTACTGACCCTCCGGGAATAATTGTGGACGTCGAGGCGTCTTCAGATGATGGGACAGGTTGGATAAATAATTGTTGAGATTAGATAGAAAGAGTGAGAATGGTAAACAACCATAAATTACTAGTCAACGAACTCTGAATCTACGGTACGGGATTTTGAATCTAGGGAGATCCACAGGATGGCGCATAGTTACCGGGACTGATAAGAACGGGTATATCTTTCGACATCTTGGCAGCACGTATCTTGGCAGCACGAGATTTGGTAGAAATATTTTTTACGTTTGATTCAAAACTACCGAAATTTTCAAACCAATTGCTCAAGTCTAGACACTGTTATGATCTTCACGAGATGAAGCAACTTTGACAAGCTATTATTCAGCTCAAGATTGATCAAACAATTTGCAACTTGACCAGTTTACTCATTAATTAATGGAATTTTTGCGCTCCAAGTTTGAGTCCAGTACGACGCTTTAATCAAATGTTATGCTGGTACAAACTTTAGTCCGAGACCACCTTGTGAGAAGATCTGTGACATTGGTTAAGTACCAGGAAAGGATTCATCTTCACAGTTTATTCCAAAAAACGTAATGTACAAAATAATTAAAGCTCTATACATTGCAACAATATACAATATCTTAATGTACAAATAGATCCTTCTATCAAATTATGCTTTCTCAATCTTCTCTTCAATAATCTTGAACTTGTTTCTCTTCTCCTCGATTTCACGAATTTCCCGTTCCGATGGTATCACTGGCAGATAGGTAAGCCATGAGTATCTCAGGAAGAATTGGTTCAATTTCGATGGAAGCACATATCCATTGGTTTCAATATCCGATTCTCCTTTTTCTGGATCCTGCTCCTCATCGTCCATTTCAGAAACAAATCCACGTTGTCGTCGTGTAGCTCCACCGGTTATATTGTCAAGGGTGAATGCAATCACCCCTCCGATCAGCATTCGGATTGTTAGGAGAGTTCCAAAGACGTCATCAACTATTTGGTTTCCTGGAAACACACGATTTTGAAATTTCAGTATAACCTCTCTCAAGATCTTACCGGTGTTCAATGGAGTCTTCTCAAAATGTGTGGCCACTGTCAATCCCATAATGATCGAAATTCCAATAATTGTCAAATTCCTGGATATCTTCATATCAACGGTCTGCAAAAACCTGGAGCGCTGTTCGGGAATGCTCTTTCAGGAGAATAAACGTACTTGTAGATTGCTCAAGGACACTCCATTAATTAGGCAGACACCCATTGCCAAAAGTCCTCCGATGATAGGTTCAGGGATCATTGATAAGAATGCGGCGAATTTCGAAATGACTCCAGCCAAAATAAGTAGGACTCCAGCCATTTGCATGGTGATACGCGAGGTGACCTGAAAGGTTTTTTTATATTTACAGATCCTGATCCCCCCAAATTTCCCTTTTGTTATCAATTATGTCACGATGGTCACTCTAAGTTTTACTTTTTTTTTATTTTTCCGCTCTTATCAGTTAAAAAAAAACTAATAAATATAATCCTGGTCACTTTTCCTTTTGTTCTACAACTTGTTATCAGGTTCAGGATGATAATTCCAGGTTCTATATTGTTTTCGGTCATGAGGTTTTTTGTAGTTGGGGAAATGATAAAAATCAAACCATCAAACTGCTGTTACTCGGAACCGGCCAACAGGATTAGTTATTTTTTGAGGATTGAGAGGAACAGTAGGAAACATAGGCTAGAAATTAAAGTGGTGAATGCTCTAATAAGAGCTCACCCTATACGTTAACTTTGAGCCCAATTATCTCGGTTCTAATGGAAGATACCGAAAATTGGTTAACTGATGAAATATTGGTGATATTATGCTGAATACTTTATCCGGTGAAAATGTTTCGATAACTTTTTGAAAGAAGCTAGATAATAGAGCTCAAACTGTATGTATAGGGTGGAGCTTCTATAAGCCAATACGGTATATTCTCCTCCGATTTTTTGAACCCTGCATATATGTATAATCTTATTTGGGAGTTCAAATTTATTCGCCAAACCAGAAACCCTGATATAATCCCCCACGTGGTTTTCCAAACAGTTTCTCTATCTCTTTTCCAATGATCTTCGACCAACCTTCGTCACGGACATGATAGCAATATTCTCGGCATAAGTAGTAACTCCAGTTCCAACTCCCCAGAGTGCCGCCAGAATACATCCGACGCCTTCAACCACGAATGCACGATTGGTGTTGGATTGTGGTGGACGAGACTGCTTGGAGATCTTGGCGCAGAGATCTGAAGTTTAAATACAGTAACCCACTCCCTTATCCAGGCTTACTGTAATCCCCGATACTCTCAATCATGGCGGCAAAACACGAAGCCATGAATCCACAGACCAATGCCAAGTTGAACTTAGGTGGTCCAAAGAATAGAGGCATTGGCATTTGAACCCATGGGGTCTGATCGAAAACTGTGATGGATGCATTCTGATCTGTTCTGGCTTCTCCGCCACGTGGCTCCGCATTGGTTATGGTCATGATGAAACAGATGAACCAGACGATAGAAATTCCAAGAAGATACTAGAATATTAAAGGTTTAGAGAGTTCTGGGACTGGGGCGAAAAGAGCTTACCGGGAATTGGCTGAAAATCTTCTGACGAGTGAATTTGAATCTTTTTTCAGATAGTGAGAACACTGGAAGTGGAACTTCATATCGTTCCAAAATTACCACGAAAAGGATGAGAGTTAGGAATTCACTGAAAAAAATTATTTCAATGTTTACGATCTCTTGTTCCTATACATTTACTAAACCTTCATCAAACAACATCTTTAAAATTCCCTATCAGTTGAACTATAACATCTTAACCTAAAACAAAAATTTGGTCGCTGAAAACGAAAAAAAGTTGTTGACTTTTCAGAATTCCAATGTTTCGCGGGAAAACCCCGCTGATAACCCCCTTATCACTCTTTTTTGACTTTTAAAAGTCACAACCAGCTGATGTCACTTTGCAACACCATGTGATCACTGGCGTCTTTTCTTGTACTATTTCGTATTTTTAGGCGTGGTTGGGACAAAGTTCGATAAGTCGACTCACACAATCGAGATCCAATGTAGAGACATTTTTTCCTCAATATCTGGCACAGTGCCAATTGTGAGCAAGCTCATAATTGGGACGATTGTAACTGGTCCGATGTATTTGGAAATCTTTCCGACGAGACCCGTGAATCCTAGGATGGGCATTATGAGCACAGCGATCAGGCAGCTTCCGGAGATCTAAAATTTGAACGTTTAATTATTTTGCGGTCCAATTTAAGGTTATTATTCAGTCGAGAAATTTAGCCGACCGACCGACCGACCCGATCGGTCAGCGGCTGCCCTGGGTTAGCTGGGTCGGCTCAAAATTGGGTCTGGGGACTTTAAAAACCCAAAAAGGACTCAAAAATCGTGTTTCTAGGCATTTTCGAAAATTGATCAGATGGCTTAGTGGGATTTTCGAGAAAAAAATTGGATCTAAGGGTCCCGGGTTCGAACCCCACCGGTGACAACTTCTTTTTGATTTATAGTGGCTGGAAATTCAAAAATCATGGTTTAATAGTTCTGAAAATTGCTTCTAGGCCATTTTCAGCCGAAAACACGATTTTCAGAGTCAACCCCTATTCTATTTTTTCAAGAAGTCAGAATTTCTGAATCAAATAGACGCTTTTCCTTGAAATTCCCAACCCTACCATTTGCATTTTCTCTTCCCAATTGTTTGTATTGGTATCTGCATTACACGGGAACGTCGCCTGGAATGTGTGCAGGGCAGGAAGGAAGGCGAACGAGGGACCGTGTAGGATCGAGAGACTGAAAGAATGGAGTAAATATATTTTTGAGATGGTTTTTGGAACTTTGCAGAAAAATAGAAAAATCAGCAGGTGTCTTATATTTCAATAATCAAAGGACATATTTGTCTGTGCGGTCTTGAAACTCACCGCATCCCAAATGTCGTCTGCAAAATTGTAGCAATACCCGATGTGACAAAAGTGGCTGAGATCAATTGTACACTGAAATTAATCACTTCTCTAACATCTGAACCATTTTACAGTAATCATACCGTATCTGAAGAGCTTGATCACCCGCACATAGCATATCTGATACAACGTAAGGGATTACCAGTAGAGATGACAGACAAATCATCATTTGTTGTAGACCAAAAAGCATAATAGACGGAGGACTCGGTACCTCATTGACATGAAAATGCAGATCACTCATGGTTGATTCTTGGAGACACAATTCTGAATGAAACTGGAAAATCAAAAGTGTTCACTGAAATTTAGAGAGTAAGAGATTCAGAGAAGTCAGCGAATTAATCGTTTTGTTTTCTAGATAATAAGCGTGGAGAGAGAGAGAGACCAAACTTGTGACTTTTTTCTAGTGAAACTGTATAATTCACTCATGTTCTTTGTGTCTTTTTTTGGTTGGCCCCTAGTCTCCGCCCACTTTTCAATATATTTTGTTTATGAAAAATTGGGGAGGCGGAGGTAGGTGATAAGGGAAAGAAAGGGTGTGAAGAAATGTTGATCCATGGTTCATAGGGAGTCTCAAGAAATTACATATCTAGTTTTCTGATGCCGTCTGACGTCACAAAGACACATTTTTAAAGATTAGGACAAAGGTTAAGGTTATGGAATGGTTATGTGTGGGAAATTTTTGGTGACCTAGATCTTTCTTAGGCCATGGTTTTCAAATTCGTTGACCTCGCACAGAGTTTTAAAATTTATCTGTGACTTCATGAAAACATAATCATGGATTATAAAAACTAAAAAAAAAACTAAACGACTAGGTTTAAAAAAAATCTTTTTCGATTGTTGGGTTTTTGCATTGAATTGTTCAGCTTTTAGTGTTTCACAAAACGTTTTAATTTAACTTGGCATGTTCAGTACTTCAAAATGAGTATAATCTTGACCTACTCAGACGAGATGAAAACTCATGCCAGCAAAGAAGTGCCTTGTCGGCATGATAATTTTTGGTTTCGGCATGATAATTTTGCTTGCCGGCCATATAGAGAGTCATGCCGGTATGGTAGGGAAAGAAAAATCATCCGCCGGCGAGGAAACGAAGCTCCGAAATTCCGGAGTGTTTTTAAAATTTTCAATGTATTTACAAGTTTTCCTATTTTCAAGCGTTTTCATTTTTGTTTCACCTTCAAAATATTTTCCAAATTCTAGAAATTATGGCTCCCTCGAAATGGAAGCTCAACTAGTCGGATAAAACTAGAGGAAACCCACTTTTCACGGACCTTGAAATCTTAAAAGATTTGCAATTTAGTGAGTATAACACTGATGATATGATCAATCCAAACATTAATTTTCAGTCAGCGAGCTTTGACCAGGAATCAAGGATTTCGGTTCGAACAATCAATTACTCTGAAAACGGAACGAATTCAAACCAACATCATTTGCTTCAATCAGACGAAATTGTGAAGAATTTGGAGACTAATCTAGTTCTTGGGCCTTATCCACATTTCTCAAATTGTACTTTAAATGTAATTCCCTACTTCCTTTTTTTTTTGGAAGATGTTACTTTTAAGTCATTTCTCATTAATAAATGATGCATTTTTTGATTCATCGGCTGCGGAGCGAAAGGGGAGGATTGAAAGAGCTTTTCCATGCCGGCGTGACTTTCAAAAAACCTTGCCGGCCTGAAAAAACCATTTCTCCTGCGGCGTGTACGCCGCAAGAAAACTTAATTTTTCGCGCCGGCAAGGTTTTTCATCTCGTCTGAGTAGTTAGGATTTTTTGGATAAAAGGTCCGTCAAAATTTATAAATCCTCTTATCTCTAACGATATTGAATTTCAAGATGTGAAATTTATATGTCTGAATTAAGCTTTTCAAGTGCATAAAAATGAATAAAAACACGACTAGGTCTTTTAATCTATTCTGTTTTTCGTAGTGGGACCCAAAATTCTTAAAATATCAAATTTAAACAAACCTAGGCAAGTTGAACTTACTTTGGGGCTCGGAAACGAAGCGGTTTCAAAACTACTAGAGATACCGTAGTTCGATCGATTGAACATAAAAGTTGAGAGTTGAGTAAAAACTACTGTATTACAAAACCCGGTTATCCAGGTTTCTTTTTTTTACGATTCTTCAGATCTATACAATTACTTTAAATTTTTGTTTGCTTCCTAGAAATCTGAAAAACTTGAACTCTGGTTAATTTTTCGTTGAACATCAGGCATTTCTTTCTTATTCTTTTCACTTGAATTCAAGATTCTTGAGCATCGGTTTCCGAAACCATCCTATCTGATCATAAAGAGCTTCTCCAGACTTTACGACTTCCAGATCGTTCATTTTTTGATTCCCTAAATATTTCCTGCACTTTTTCCTGCAATTTTTTGTGATTTACCGACCAAAAACCACACGATAACAGAATTCTGAAATTCACCAAACGTTGCCTGTTTTTGTTTGTTTTTTGTTCACTTTTTTCTGGTTCCAGTTGGTAACAAGGAACAAAAATTTGTTTGTGGGAAATTGCGAATTTGTAATTTATTGCCTGTCTCGGGTCACTTTTTGTCCCAATCGGCGAAACCAAAGAGTAGCGATAAAAAGTGATTAGATTCAATTCTTTTTAGAGTGGAAATAGAACGAAAAAAAAAGAAATGAAGAAGATACAAAAAATGTGTTTTGACTTTGATCAGAGAGTAAATGAAAGAAAAAAGGGGGAAAGAAGGAGAGGAAAGCGATTTTTGGTTTTTTATAAACCCCTCAAAAAAGGTTGATCTTTGAAAAAAATTTCCGTTCATTCAAATTCAAAAAAAAGCATTTAACAAAACATTCGAAACAAGTAGGGATTAACAAAAAATATCTGGTTTGGGTATCAGTGAAAAAATGGTCATAAAAAAGGCACTTTGAAAAAGGGGAAACAACATAATGTCGGAAATGCTCTAGAAACCTCCCCCTGTACGTGTTTTGAGCTCATTTATCTCGGTTCCTTTGAAAGCTATCAAAAATAGGTCAACTAATAAAATGTTGATGATGTTACGAAAAGCATTTTATCAGTTGACAGATTTTGGATAGCTCTTGTAGGAACCGAGATAAATGAGCTATAAAAGTGAGCATAGGGTCGCGTAAAAAAGGGGTACGGTAGCAAGGTAGGGTTGGTAGTAAAAGGTGGTGGTAGGGATAGCATAAAAATTTAGGCTTCTACTAGAGTAAATGAGGTACATTGCATTGATAAGATTTTTCATTTGGAAGTTGGTGGACGGATCTCAAGAACATGATTCTGTCGCTTCTTCGCTGCCATATATTCCCTCCTCGAAACGAATTCCCCATCCACCAAAAACGTCCGCCTACCTCGATTTTCGTATTTGAATCCGACATTCTGCTCGAAAAGTTCAGTAAGCCGCTTCTGCTCTTCAAAGTATGGATGTTTCTCCGAAGCACTCATTGCTCTCCAACGGGTTCCTGAAAAGTTCAAATCTGTATTTGGATCAGGAATTCTTTATAGGTGGGGACATGAAAAATAAAAGTCTCAAATTTGTTCTTGTTTTTTATTTGCTGCCTCTAGAGGGGTTGAACTTGTAGGACGACTACTGAAGGTGCAGCGCCGCTACCGACTGAGCCACACAGGCGAAGCTAGATGGCATATGTACATAAAAGCGGACACGACAGCCGGCATTGTACACCGTTACGCGAGAACGTATACCAAAACAATCCAAAAAATCTCCTTCCCCCCCCCCTA